TCCGAATTTGAAAGTTATGAATTGGTTTTAAATAACAAAAAATATGATCTAAGAATTATTTTGATTAAATCATAATCACATTTATCGAGAAAAAACAAACATCTGTTGTTTTAATGTTAATGCGTTGTTAATAATGCACGATAAAATTAAAATTGGTTTAATCTAAATAAATTTCTTCAAATAATTTCAAATTAAAATGTTCTATTGAAATACAATCAAGAAAATTTGTATTAATGTCATAAAAGCAAAATTTGCAAATCAAAACTGTACGTTTCATTGATTTGATAACCACATATGAAAAAAATTTAATTGATTGCTTTTTAAATTGTTAATAAAACCCCCACACACTTTTAGCTTTGTAATTTTAAAATTAAATAGGTTCTTACTTATTTTTTCATGCTAAAAATATACTTTCATCAAATTTATAAATAATACAAACTCAAAGTCTAAAAATATTTTTGATAAGCAAATGCCGCTTTAAATCAAATGGTGCAGCGATACAGCATAGTTAAATAGCACTCACTTTTTCACTTATCACTCATCCAAATGAAACAAACCATATGAATCATGAAACTGCAATTAGTTCATTTTGATATCTATATCTAAAGATATAATTATGTGACAGATTTGAGTCTTTAATGTTAAAATAAATAACCATAATATTGCAATATACGGAATTATACGTACAATTTTTATTTATTTTTTTATTTTATTTTTTTTAAGGATTAAGAACTTAAGGGGGGACAGGTAGTCAAAATGCTAAAATTTTAAACACTTGACTAAGACAGAATATTTTTTGCTAATCACATTGCAAAAGCAATAAAAACACTTAAAAAAACCAATTGGGACTAATTAATTATTTTTTTTTATGCTTTTGATGAGAAAATAGGGGTAAAATTGAGCAATTTTATATACTTACAGGAAACAGCGTAGCTCAATAACCACCAATAAGAATTCAATGAAACTTGGCATAAATATTAATAATAGGACATTGCACAATGTGATAGAAGGAAATTAGCATAACTGAAAAAATAATTTTTTTGTGAATTTTTTAAAATTATGTCAAAAAATAATCCATCATTTACGTAAACTGTCCTATCAAAATTCAAAATAATTTTTTTGTCTCTTAAAATAGAATAAAAACCCTCTATCACATTGTAGATAAACATGTTAGGAACATGTGGTGCAAATTTCTTTATAATCTGATAGGTTGTTTCTGAGATACACTGCTTCCAATAACCTGACCCTCGTAAAATTGACACAAATGAGAAAATGCAAAAAGAAGTTTTATTATTGAAATAATTTATTTTTCAAATAATTAAAGTGGCATAAAGTTATATTATTATATCACCTTGGCTTCTTGAAAATATGATACATCAAAAATATATTTAAAAAGTCTTTCTGTGGAAAAAATATAACTGATTCTCTAGCCCACCCCCCAAAGAAAAAAAATGCGAAAAATTTAAATAAATCTGCTCTGAGATAAAACTGCCTCTTTTCCTCTTATGTGTTGTGGAACCTCTTCTGAGCAATAGCTGACTGCCAACAGTAACATGTCTTTCCAGTAGGGCAGTCATGGTGTTTAGGGTTCTCATCAGGCCAGGCAGCTGCAAGCATGCGGAAAATGTCAGAATATTCCTCCGAAGGTCTTTTCATCTGTAACTTTCGATGGCCACTGCATTCTCACAGAGCCACTGCTGAAGATTCATTTTATCTGTTAAAAATGTATATATAATTACACTTTGCTCCATCAACAATAAATATAGTAACAGCATTACATTTTTTTTTATAAATGCAGATAGATAATATATTGAGCAGCTGTTCGTGGGGCCTGTAGAGATGACAATATAAAAAAACAATTATATATCATTATGATATAAACCTTACAATACTTCCAGTCTTACACTTACACCCACCTGGCATCAGGTGTCATGGCACTCTTAGATTCTACTGCCACCATGTTTCCAAGAGTAGTACCTGTTCGAAGCAAGCTGTACTTTTGGCTCGCAGAATCGCTGCTTGTTTTCTTGGTGCCATTTCACTGCAAATAAATCAGAACAATTTAATTTTAGTCATCAAGGTAAAGAAAGGATTACAAATGAAGTGGTTAATTCCTTATCTTTTAAATTGTTGATGATGAGAGAATTCAATCAAACCCAACAACACCCACACACCTTTCAAATAACTAACCTCAAACAAATTTTTTTTTTTTTTTTTTAGTTTACACTCAATTCTTGACAAGTAAATAAGCACATAATAAAATATATCTGGTTAATGATAGTTATTAAATATTAAAACTTTGAAACAAGTATATATATATATAATTGATAATTTAGTTAGTTTCAGAACTGAAATGATCCTTGTATTTATAATAATTTGTATGGGTAGGTTGTCACTACTGACGTGAGAAAGCATGACGTTGACGATACTGATACTAGTACTATTACTAAAACAATTTTTAATAATGAAATGGTAAATCATACTACATCCATATTTACCTTTGGCTTGTTATTGAACAAATATAGTGAGCACGAAAAGAGCAGCCTTTGATAAATCCAATGTAAGTCTGACAAACGGTGGATAGTTTTATCAACACAGAATGGTTGCGAAACGAAAGTAACCGTGTTGCATTTCGGTATACGGTAACCCAATTTGTGCTATTTTTGGTAACATTACTAATAGTCGACCAATGAAATTACAGGCTTTACTACACGATGACGTAGAAGCCGTCTAAACACACTTTTACAACAAATGTGACGTATTGCACAGCTCGCTTCTCTTTGTTAGGTAGAATGATTTTGAGATAAGTAGGTCACAGTTGTAGCCAGTGGTCTAAGCTTTCCAAAGAGGCCTAACAATAGGCATTAGGCTTGAAGGAATGCGGTTGTAAAGGGTTTTAAAATGACCATAACGCGTCGGAAAGCCGATTTTCCTGAAATGGTTGCCTAGATACGTGTTATATTAGGACAAATTATGTACTTATAACAATTATTTTTAGCAAATTTTATTTGTGGATTGTGTTTATAAGAGGTTATTGTAACCAAATATACACTTTTTGGAAAATTGAAAAAAAAAAAAAAAACATGATTTTTACGAAAAGTTGACTACCGGTCCCCCCTTAAGAATTTAATTAAGTAGCGGGACGAACAAAAAAAATGTGTGATTGCGTACATAGGAATCTACCATTCCGTGGATGATTTTATTAATTTTTCATTAAAAATGTGTGGGGGAGGAAGATTCAATACTTTCCCCAGGCAGCACGAGATACGCCTCAGAATATTTTAATGAATTTGTTTTAAAAAATTAATCTTCTTCGGGGATTAGGATGTGTACATTTTTACGTCGCCGACAATATCTTAAACTTAAAATCCAATAATATTAAAACTAAAGTCTTGAAAAGAGATGTTACATTTTCTTTTTACAAGTAAACACCCGCTTACAATTAAGAAAATAAATTGCTTTTAGGTAAATGTACATAATTAAACCCATGAATATCAAAACCCAATAATTGTATACACTTAAAAATTTAATTTTGAAAAATAGAGAGGGGTTAAGATTTTCTTTCAAAAATTGGAAATAAATTTTTGTTTTTACTTTGCGAAAAGTAAAGTGGGTTTATATTTCTATGAGATTAAGAATTTTTAATTTTTATTTAACTTTAGCAGTTTAAATAGTTTACATATTTTTAATAATTGTAAAGCGCTTAGAGCTGTAAGGTAAGCGCGATACAAAAATGCCTAAATAATAAATAATAATAAGAAGAAGATTTCTGTAAAAATACACTTAAGGCCAGTGGAGTAGATAAGCTGTTGCCCGGTGCGGTAAACTCGTCGTGTCAACCCCCCCCCCCCCCCAAGCCGACTTCCACGATGAATTTCTACTTTTTAAAATAAGTCCAAAGTGTAACAATGACAAGAACAAAGAAATATTAATTGAAGGTCAGGGGGTAAATATATTTAAGAAATGTAACGTGTATTTTTTAGATTTGCCCGACCACATCGTATCTGGTATCAATGGAAAGCTTTATTTCTCAGAATTTATATAAACAATAGTTTCCTGTCACTTACGAAAGTTACCGAACACTTCAATCGGCGTTGAACCATGGTCACCACGGAGTTTTCTGGCCTAATTGTAGGATAACCTTATTTCAGACGCATCGAACTTGAACTTTAAATAAAAGATTAGTTACATGTGTGGAAAACTTACTGAGATCGGTTAGCCTTTGATGAAATTCTGTTAGACCGATAAGTGTGTGCTCTGTAAATATGCAATTTTTCAATTTGATGTCAACCCCTTGAAAATATGCCACTCTGTGGGATCCCTACCCTCCCGCATCCCCCTAGCTACGCCACTGATTAAGGCTGTTACAGACATAAACAACAGTTAAGAGATTCTTCTTTAGATAAAAGAATTCTTTGTTTTCCGTTTTTCCGATATTATAACAGAATACAAGGGCACAAGTTCCGTTAAATTTTTTATGAAGATATCAATGTATAAAATTCCGTTATTATAAAGTATATTTAAAATAGTTTACAGTCGACCCTTGTCACTTCGCGCTTTGACTTTCGCGGCTTCATACTGTCGTTTTTTTCTACTTCAAATCTAGCAGGTATTCATTAAAATGTTGATCAAGATAGTGAAAATGATACAGCGCACGCTCGGCTGTCTGAATCAATCCCCTGTCCCGTATTTCAATTAAAATTAATTTGCGTATGTACTGCAGGTCTATGTATTCGAGCACCCCCCCCCCCCCCCCGCGCACGAAAAAACTCCAAACACCACCTGTCCCGTATTTCAATTAAAATTAATTTGCGTATGTACTGCAGGTCTATGTATTCGAGCACCCCCCCCCCCCCAGGGGTGAAATAATGTTAAAAACCGTACTTAGAGAAGAGTCGTGAGCCGATGTTCTATGCACTAACTGGGAAAATATTCAATTTATAAAAAAAGAATCCAACTTCGCGGAAATTCACTCATTGCGGAACCGATTAACGATGGACGACTGTAGAGAGTTTTTGTTGTAAATTTAAGATTAATTTTTCTCAATTTTTAAAGGAAAAAATAGTTTGAAGGGCACGAAAAGTCGTAAGTAGGCCCAACATTTAACAACTAATAACACATGGAATCTGAAGTGTTTCTCTAGCGCAGAAATCAGCCGTCAATAAACTCCTCTTGTGACAATAATGATTTAATTAGTGATTAAAAATTAGTTTAGGGGCACGAAAAGGGGTAGGTTAGGCTTATAATATATAGCAGAAATATACTTCTTTAAACTTTTAATGATGTTAGAAACTTAAACATATACATAGCTACTTCTTTTTAAGATAAAGAATTGTGATGACTGATGAGTTTTCGCAATAGCATGTAGAAATTATCGCAAAGACTTTGCAATTATTATCTCGATAACATCGGATGCTATTTTCTAGTTAAAACACAACTGTCTATATTTACAAGTACTACTGGACAAACCAAATATGTAGCAAATATCGTAGTTAAACTGGCATTGGCCAAATATTTATTGTTGCAGTTAAATCGATTTGTAAGTACGTATTAATTGAATTGCTTGCAGACATAATAAATAAATAAAAAATGACTAGTTAATACAGAAAAGTGCAATTGAAAAGTAGAAGCAGACCCTTTTAAAAACCATGGTTTATGAGTGCGATGATTGTGGTTATGGTGAATGTTGATGTTTTCATCATTCTGATTGTTATCGATTTCCTTTATCTTGCCATGAGACGCCTTTTCATCTCCTGTCACAGAGCTCTTATCAATGTACCCAAAATGTTTTATAATGTTCTTCTTAGGGGTAGTATTTTGAATGACATTGTCATTCTCATTGTTGAGCTTATTGTGATTTTGATTAAAATACTTATTGCTTGAATGATGGACTGAATCAGAGTTGTGACTTACTTCCTTCTCATGGCGAGTTTCCACAGCTGTATTTGGCTTAAACGTAAATTTACATACTTTGCGATCTTCCATATTAGGCTCAAATTGAGGACACTGAAATGGTTTAAATTCGTGTAAGTCTTCCAAGGAAGTGGGTTCCATTTGCCATTGCAAGGCTTGAGTGACAGTTACAAGATAAACATCGTCCATTGTTGTCATCTTTTCAATGAATTCATCCATGGCATCTAGTTGATATTCCGTATTGAGCCACGGAGAATGCAGATTAAGATATAAAGGAGCACGATTGCTGCGATAGTTTCTGAGAAAATTCTTCCACAACATCTGAAAGCAAGAAGAATGATTTTAAAGGGTACTTTAAACAAAAAAAAAAAAAACTGTGCTGATCTTGAAATGTTCGTTTTTTTAAAATGGTTGAAAGCTACGGAGAATGCAGATTAAGATATAAAGGAGCACGATTGCTGCGATAGTTTCTGAGAAAATTCTTCCACAACATCTGAAAGCAAGAAGAATGATTTTAAAGGGTACTTTAAACAAAAAAAAAAAAACTGTGCTGATCTTGAAATGTTCGTTTTTTTAAAATGGTTGAAAGCATTTGTTTTAACATGTACAGATCATTAGACATTATTATGTATTAAACAAATAATATCAAAATACAAATTAACTTTCATATCATCATCATCCGTCTATTTGGGTCGTTTCTATCCATCATCTAGTTGTTTCACCTAAGGAAATGATGTGTATCACTAGCACTGAAATCGCGCCTTGCCCAAAAGTTCGACATTCTAATGAAACACTTTCTGGTATTTAAACATTTAAAGTATAATGTTTGTAATCAGTTGTTCTGTCTTTGATATAATTAAGATATACTGCTATATGCTTCACTGAAATCTGCGCTTCAGTAATATATTTGGCCAAAATGTATCATTATTTCTATCTACACTATTATATTGAGATATTATTTCAACGAATAGGAAATATATCCATAATTAACCAGTAAGAATAAACAAAGGATCCAGCGTTAACAAAAAAAATATCTTTTTTAAACTTGCTAACGTTTATACTTGATTGTAAACTAAAAAAAAAAAAACTTTAAGGAAAAAAAAAACAGTATAGTTTTATGTAATAGACTTTTTTTACGGTTCATATTCACCAAATAAATATTTTAATACTTTTGCTACAATTTTATAATTTTACTTTACCTGGTAAGCCTCATTTTTATCTCTGGGCATGTTGGCACAATCATCAACATAGGCACAAGGTTTCTGCTCTCGGTAATCCATGAGGACCACGACAGGTAGGATCCACAGTCCGGGATACTTATGTTGAGGACAGCGAGCTATATTACAGACCAACGTGTACCCGTAGTCTAGGGTGAAAGGCCAAAGTACAGGGGAATAGAGATTTTTGGGAAAGGAATACGTCATTGTAGCGTCATATCTGTTAAAAATAAAGACGAGATGATATTTGTTTAACAATTTTTTAAATAGAATATTTGATACGGTGTTACTAGGATAATGATGGAGGGCACATTGCGTTACTAAAGTTATCTTCCACATGTCGTTCTTTCTAAGAGTCAACATCTAAAAATCCATTTTTTCGAAATTAAATTAATCGATTGTTGCTACATTGTATCCTCAAAAATTATCATTTTCAACGCCCTTGAAATGTATATTTAGGTAATAGAAAATTAGAAATTCTTTATTATAATTAATATTTAAATATTTATGTTTCTCAAATCATTGGGTTTTGATAATGTTTTTCTAAATTATATAGGCCAACTGAACCATTTTCAAACATATGAAAAACAAAGAAAACTAATTTTGTGAACATTGTAAAAATATGTCCGTAACTTAAAATTGTATATCTACTATTTTAAATATATGTAGCATGAATAGATTTTGGTATATTGATGTCTTCATTAAAAATTTAGCCAACATCTGTCTCGCTCCTGAAAAATATTATTTTAAACCGTTAAAAACAGTTCTAGAATATATGACCAGATGTAACCGGGATAGTTATGGAAGGCCCTTTGCGATACTTTATAACTGCTATTGCAAGGTCATATCATCTAACAATCAAAATTGTACGTACCTAGCTGAAAAATGATAACGACAATATTCAAAGCCCTTCAAATGTATATTTCAGAAATATTCAATCGGACTTTCCTTCTTTTAAAAAGAAGTCTCTATGTATTGTTATTTACGTTTATAATGTCATTTAGTTTTGAGAAATATTTATCTGCAATATAATCCAGGCCAATGTTCCCTCTAAGATTTGCTGGTTTGAGTGCAAAATCATACAGTTGTGTGCAAAGTTTTACAGCATCAATTTATTGTGTGCAAAATTTTACAGCTCACAAGCACAAACACACGGAAATTACATAAATGAACTTAAGTGCAAAAACTTGTATGTAAATAAATAAAGGAACTATAATTAAATAGTTATAATCAGAAATGTGACAATAGTTCAATCAAATATATATTTATTTCTATTATTTATCCCGTCATTGGGTCAAGCAACTAAATTCCAACACGCCCACTACCAATCGCCGCTAGTCATTTCATTGACTCGTTTCTGGAGGTACTCTGGCGTCTGTCTTTCAACGATATCCATCTTTTATAAACATCGTCAAGGATGATCTGATGTCCACCATTCTGATATGATTTAATCCTCATCAGCATGTCTCAATGTAACCCTTCAAGCCTATTTCTAGTCTTTATTTTTATATTGTTCATTAGGCTGAATCCACGTTCACATTCGGTGCTTGATGCAAAAATGTAGCACAAATATCCAACGGAATGGCAATGTCAACGAATTGCTCCTCATTTCGTTCAAATCGAACCATCTCGTCAAGCACAAACCTTAAGGTACGATACTGATCCTTAACTTTCTGCAGAATGTCATCATAGTTTTCCAGGATTGCTGCATATATAGCAAACAGTGCTGCAAGTTCTTCTTGGCCAAAATTAAAATCTGAAATGTTGATTAACGCTGATATCTCAAAGATTCACCACTGCATCAACTCCCTTTCAGGAAAACCAGAGTCCAGGTGCACACATAAACATTCAACAAATTTTAGGATGGAACTCATGCAAGTGTCCTCGTCATGTGCAAGCAATTCAGCAACCTCTTTGGACTACTGTACATTTTCACCATGATACTGGGTACGGAGCTTAGCGATCCTTGCTTTTACAAACCGGTATGCCTCGATGGTCGTAAGACTTTTTTTATTTTAAGCAGCTTGCATAATTCAGAAAGTTCACCAACAACTACATCAAAGACAATCAGTGCAGTTCGAAACTGCGGATCCCTTAGTTTTTCAAACAGTTCTTATGAACTGAATCATTATACAGGCGCTTCTGCTCCTCACAGTATTCAGTCAACACTTGTATGTTTCTCAGCAACGCTCGTAAAGCAAAGTGCCGCGAAAGCTATCTGATTTCATTCAATGGTCTAAAGGCTATGGTCTCACATTCCAACATCTTAGCTAGTTCCGTAAACTGGGCTTTCCGTACTGTCGACCTACTGAACAATGTGTACACTGTCCTAAGCAACGTTTCAATGTCTGCCATTAAACTTACATGTTTTCAAGCATTATCGATGCCTAAATCTTCATGATGAACAGCGCAATATCGTTCCAGTAGATGTGGAATACATCGTTGAATAATTGCTGCAACTCCACCGTTTTTGTATACCATAACAGATGCACCATTAGAGGTAAACAACCATTTTCTGCATGTCCAATGAATTCTCTTGATAAAAATCTGTTCTGGCTGATCCTCAGATTTACTGTCACATGCAAAAGAGACAAAATTCGAACAAACACTGTCTTGTAAACATCACCGGGATATGGCCGAAACTTTGCGTATAAGATCAATTTTTTCAGTGATATTTCAGTGCTCTCCTCTACTGTTCATGTGTGGCACTTTGCATTGCGAAGTTCACAAATTGTAGCATCATTCACTCCAGAATCGATAGAATGAACAAACTCAAAAGCATGATTCTGACTGTGCTAGATATCAGAGAATGGGGCCTACTTAGCCATATGGTTGTGTATGTATTGAATCGCATACATACATGTGTTCATGTTGATAGCTAAGAGGACGTTGTCAATCAAAATTTTAACTTCGTCTTCTTTAGCACTTTTACAGTGTGCTGCTTCTTGTCTCATGCCTCGATCAGCGACACTATCTGTAAGCATTTGCAGTACGCCTTCTGACTGTATAGAATGAAGTCACTGTACATCATCTGCGCGAATTTTTCGCTCAATATGTCTTTTAAGATGATCCAGCGTTCCAATCCTCACATCATTTTCTTGTGGAGCTTTCTCATTAGCTTTGAAGCACATTTCAAAGACAACATCATAATCGATTTCAAGATATTTGAAAATATCGCTCAGTTTGACGGTCCGTGCTGCATGCACGAATTCAGTGAGCCATTCCGTTTTAAAATTTGATCTACACTTTTTCTTAGCAAGCGATGACGCTGACAATTCCCTTAACTGACCGGTACAGTCATTACATTATTAAAAATAATTAGCTTCTACATTTATACTAAACTAGAAATATGAGATTTATTTAGTTTAAGCACATTTACTGCGCAGTATGCACCACGAAATTTACATGCATGTCTAGCGTGATCAGGTATGCATCGGTAAGTTATGTAAATCAATAGTTATACGTAAAAATTAGAAGACAAAAATATAGATCTGAATCGAATAAAAAATATGGATGTATATATAATAAAAACTGTATCTTCCGGCTGCACAGTGCAGAGTATCTGTTCGAATTTATTTTTAAAAAAAATTGCTAACTACTATTTAAAAAAAAAAAAAAAAATTCTGTTTATTCTGTTTTTTTTTCTCTGACGAATGCTTTCTTTCTACATATTTTTTTTTTTTTTTTTTTTTTTTTTTTTTTTTGTTCTTTTTTTTTTTTTTTTTTGTTTTTTTTTTTTTTGCGTCCCCTTTTTTTAGTATTTAAATTAATTCGTTTCTTTCAGTAATTAAATTAATTAGTTTTATAGCGCTATATGGATACCCTAGCTCATTCTTATATATATAAAGACGATTCTCTCATCCAATTTTCACGTTTAAAAGTCTAGTGTTGTAACAACTATTCTACAGCTCATAAACATTTCCTATGCTCCTACACTGTATGTTGTGCAAATGGAAATACAAATATTTCCTTATATTTAAAGAAAATTATTACCCATATACAGGCCTGCACAACATACGGCTTGCGGGCCACATACGGCCCACCAGCACCAAATTTGCGGCCCGCGAAGTAAAGAAATAATCTTGCTTTTTATAATGATAATTTTTAAATAGCTTTTCCCTCCTGTCCTATTTTCTTTCGGCCCGCACATGTTTTTCATAAAGTATTATGGCCTGCCTTACATTTTGATGTATGGAGGCATGCCAACATGTGTTTAAGCCTCTGACCTGTATTTTGGGGAAATAAAACAAAAAAATGCTGTATCCTTTTTTTTTTAAAAAAAGATTTAAATTTTATGCCAGTAAAATGAATGGTTGTTTTAGATATTTTTATCGACAAAATACTCGACCTTGAACTGTACCGGTATATTTGAAAAAAAATGAGAAAAACATTACGATGTCCTTAGTTGTAAAGAAATCTTATACACTAATGCCCCCTTTTCAATTTCATTTGGTTTTGAAATATGGGTATACTTATGTGTTTTTAACGCCCTTCAACTGCTTTTCCCAACATTACTGTAACACGTATTGTTTATTTTGAAAGGAAATCTACAAATCTCTTTTCACAACTGTAATATGATCGGATATAAATATACAGTTAGTCAAATAAAAATGTACATATCCTCTTTCCTACCAGTAAATGTGTTTGCGGTAGAATATTAAATACATTATTTCGTATTAATAATAGCACCTCCGGGATTGTTTCCCCCTTGGTACCGCCACCATCATGCACTTGGCCCCAACCCTAAATTATATTAGAATTTTATGTCCCAAACTCTTAACCATGCAATATATAACATTTTCTTAATTAAGTATTTTTAAAATTTTCTTTTCTTTTTTATTTTAAAAACAACTTTAATACCAAAGGTCAACGTGTAACGTAATCAGGCTTGGGGAAAGTAGTTTAAAAATGTAACTCCTTGATTAGTAAATTTCCTATTTAAATTATTTTGAAAGTTAAGTTTCCGTTTTTTCCTTTTTAAATTGAATTAGTTTGAGCATTTTTTGGGGTGAACAGTTACAAGTAATTCAATGTTCAAGATAAAACGCTTCAATTTTATGTGCTGTGTTAAATTATAGTTTGCAATTTAAAAATCAAGCGATTTTATTTATTTTAAAATATAAACATTCGTCAAGTTTTTCTTATATTCATATCTGAGATTTAAAAAAATTAATTTACTATAATAGACCCCGTGGGCTGAATTCGAGCCGGTATCGGTCCTTAACACGGTCCGCCTGGCCGATTTATGTGTGCCCCTATGGTGGTTAATAAATATAGAACATCCCATTAGGCTCGTACTTCAAAATGACTCTAGTGTTCCTACGGCGAAATCTGAAGATTGGCAACTCAAGTTTTAAAGAAAGAGCCCAAAAAGCCTTTGTCCGGCCGCTTTTGGAGTACGCATCTTCAGTCCGGGACCCATTCCTCCAGAAGTGCATCGACAGGTTTGAGGCGGTGCAGCAACGGGCAGCACGCTTTGTCCTGAACCGCTACGGAAATCCCAAAGTGTTGTCAGCATGCTAGAAACACTGGGCTGGTCACAATTGGAGGAACGATGACCACTATCCAGGCACTCCATTATGTACAAGATAAAAATGTGCTGGTCCACTGTTCCAGCATTAAACAGAAGCCAGTCCCTCTCGCCCCTAGACAGCGACGATGCCACGACAGGCAGTTCTGGCTCACAAAAACAAGAAATCAGTACAGGAGTTCCTCTTTCCTGCCAAAGACAATAAGGGACAGGCTTCCAAAAGCAACAATTGAGGCGACTACACTTCACATATTTGCGTCTATTGCTTCCTGTCTTCCAACCCCAAAAAGTTCATAATACCATTGCTGAGTTGTTGTTCGTCCGTCGAGGATCGACGATGACCATCGAGTCGTCCGGTGACTGATGACTTGCGCTAGTGACTTTTGTTTAAGGTTAGGAAGAGTTGCGCGGCGTCAACCTCACTCTCTCGTCCGGGCCCACCATATCCAGTGGCAAGACTCTACGTCAGGACGATCAGGGATGGGTACAGTTGCAGGAATTGTCATTGTATGCGCCTTATGGGACTCCAACTCCGGGTTTGAATTCAGAGTTTCCTTCTCTTAGATGAGTTGCGGACCAAGGTTGTCGAGTCTCATCCACCCGGGCTGATGTTTTTGCTTGACCTGCCTTTGGCTGAGTAGCCCTTGCAAACAGTGAAGCATCCCTTTCAAAACCATGCACAGTTACATTACGAACCCCTCTGAAACATAGGAGCCAGAATGATCAATTCATTGAACGTGGGCCCTCAAAATATAGCAGAAGAACAAGAAATGATTTCCTTATATCTTTATGTTGATTACAATTCTTCTTAGTTTTTAATTACTTTTTTCATTTTTTTTTTCAAATAATACATTTTCAGCCTGATTCTAGGAATCATGCGACTTGCAACAGTTTCTGAGGGAAATAAATAACACTTTTGATAACACATGCACTATAATATAATAAATAACTATAGCATAGGTGCTTGGTTAAAAATGTCCTCTATATAGAAATATCATATAAACATTTGTTTACAATGTTATATTATTTTTTTTTTTAAATATGATACATGGATTGAGCAGCATTTTTTAAAACTGTAAGTTGCTATTATTTCTTATAGGAATTTAATTTTTTTTAAAGTTATTAAATGTTTAAGATACAAAGCTAACAATTGGTAGAGTGACGCAATTCGTTTCGAAATACGATCCATTTCTTGAGTTGTTTACTGTGCTCTGTTCCTTGTTATATTTTCATTTGTCCTGTGTGCTGAGGAAGGCTCTATGTCGAAACGTTCTAATCTTATTGTCCTGTTCTTTAATTTCAGCTTCCACAAACCTCGTTTTGCTATTTCATTGAAAATTAGAACAACTGAGAAAAAAAGTACATACATTGATGACATGTGTGCAGGGTTTCTCTCAGGCATATCTCGGGGGGGGGGGGGTTTAAAATAAAAACTGTGTTTTTTCTAGTTGGGAATCTATCAGAAAGCTGAAAAAAGGGAAAGATTTTTGTAAACTAGCTTTTCGATTTTAAATTAAATTTNATACATTGATGACATGTGTGCAGGGTTTCTCTCAGGCATATCTCGGGGGGGGGGGATTAAAATAAAAACTGTGTTATTTCTAGATGGGAATCTATCAGAAAGCTGAAAAAAGGGAAAGATTTTTGTTAACTAGCATTTCGATTGTCAATTCAATTTATAAAAAAAACCTTTTAGTACTAGTTTTAGATTTCCTAATTTGTTCAATGTAAAATAAATTCTCTGGATTTGGTAAAAAATGTTGTAAAGTATATCTAAGAGGCAATTTGTAATTTATTTTTAAAAAAGTTATAGTATTTTGAAATTACAAATAAACATTTCAATCAATATTGAATATTGGGAAATATATAATTTATGAATTGCATAGGATTTCTTTTAGATAAAATCAAACATTATTAATATTGTTGTCTTTGTAATCAACTCATTGCTTCTTAAAATAGTTATGCCGTTCATATAATATTTATAAAAATGAACTTTCCAATTAACCGGCTTTTTTTTTTTTTTTTTTTTTTTTCTTTGGTAAAATTTGGAAAAATTTAGTCTAATGATAATAATTAAATTTTTCCAGTTGCATTGAAAAATATTTTTTTTTTTTTTTTTTTTTTTTTTTTTTTTTTTTTTTTTTTTTTTTTTTTTTTTTTTTTTTTTTTTTTTTTTTTTGTCTCTGGTAAAATTTGGAAAAATTCAGTCTAATGATAATAATTAAATTTGTCCAGTTGCATTGAAACATATACAATAATGTCTGCGGTGCTTTTTATTGATAGAACCCTGATTATTTTTTGGGGGGTGTTTAACATTAATTTATTAATTAAGTAGCTATCCCCAAAAATAATGTAAATAAAAATAAATGCCATATTGCTATTTTTAGTACTATAGAAATATTTTGTTTTCATAACACAGGCAGGTCATTCCACCCTGCATTGAGAAAATATCCTCATTACATGTATAAACCCATAAAATATCTGAGGCACCCTGCAACGTTGTTGTAGATCTTTTTCCACATTCATTCATCTAAGCCTAGGTCTGCCTCTGTGGTTTTGGTGATGCACCCTCTTCACTCCACTGTCATTTGGCATTTTCTCGAAGTGTCATGCCCAGCGTAGGCTGCCCTTTGTTATTTCTATTATCGTGGATCCTAATATAGATTGTACAATTCCTGGTTGGTTCGTATTCTCCATCGATATTCATCCTTTGTTGGTCCATATATTTTCCTGAGAACACTTCTCTCCCATGCATTTAATAGGTTTTCTGCCATTTTTGTTAGGGTACAAGTTTCCCTTGCGTATGTAACAACTGGTCTGATTACATTTTTATAAATGTTTTCTTTGTTTCTCTTGTAATGTTTTTATTTAGAGTATTTTCCTGACTACTGAAGTATGCCCTGTTTCAAGCTGATATTCTTTCTTTTATTTCTGCTAGTAATTTGTTTCTTTCATTTAATAAAGATCCTAGGTATTTGAATCGATTCACTTTTTCAAAAGTGTGGTTTCTAATTTTAATGGTTTCATCTGTCTGTTCTTCTCTCTGTATTTTGTTTTTTTTGGTTGTAAATTTCGAGCCCAGCTTGTAGTGATGCGTCTTCTAATTCAGTAAAGGATTTTGATATGTCTTTAATACTTTTCCCTGTCAGTGCTATGTCATCAGCATATCCAATATACTGAAGGGGTTCTTTGTAGAGAATGTCCATTGCTTATGGGACTTCGATTTTGCTGTTAGTATTCCTCGGGTGTCAACATGTATGCTTTTTATACCTTTCTCTCTAATGTTAGGTTAAATAGCATACAAGACAGTGAGTCTCCTTGTCGTAGGCCTAGCGTAATCTGAAATTCCCTTGAATATTCTCCTTGAACCTTCATTTTGCTTTTTAGGTTGTTCAATTTTACATATATCAGTCTTTTCAGTTTGTTGGGCATGCCAAACTTTTGCAGAATCTCATACAGATATTCTCTTTTGATGTTGTCATTGGTCATTTTATATTCAACAAATAGTTTTTGTACTGGGATATTATATTCATAACATTTTTCTAATAGGCATCTGATGATGAAAATCTGATCAGTCGTTGATTCGTTTTGCCTGAATCCACATTGGTAATCACCTAGTATTTCTTCGGTGTACGGTTTTAGTCTTTTGTCAATTAGCTTCGTCAGTCGTTTGTATGAAACATTTAATAAGGAGATTCCCCTGTAGTTTGTGCACTGAAGTTTGGAGCCTTTCTTGTGTATTGAGGTTATTAATGCTGTTTTTATTCTGTTGGAAATTTCTCTTCTTTCCAAATTTTAGTTATACGTTTATGTATCTGAGTGTTTAGTTCAAGGGTGACCCACGTAGAATGAATATAGTTTACGTCTCACTGGAGCCAAATTTAAGTTGACTTTGATAATTATTATGGCTAATTTTGGCACTCGCCACCCGAAAGTTTGAAATGAAATCTCAAAATTGTATGAAAGACACAACAAATTCAAGTATGCACCAAAATGTACCTCTGCCTTTTGAGTTTGCCTGACTGTCTTTAGCACCCTAAATGTCTGCACCCCTTCACTGATGCTGATCAATGGTTCCGTATGGGGTTGATGATAAGCTTGTGACTAATGATTGCTCTGGGACATGTCAATAACTGAGTGAATGCAGTTTATGTATGTCACTGGGCGCCATGATTCCTCCCAAAAAAAACCTTAAAAAACCCCCCCCCCCCCCCCCCCGTTAAAAAAAGTAATATAAAAACTTTGAATTCAAATATTCTCAAAATACACCTCTTGACTTTGATATAGGTCCAGACCCCTCCACCAATCAAGATTCATCGGCACCCTCAATTTCCGCCCTACTTCCAGATGAAAATGCTCCCAGATTTCGGTATCGATATATACACTGCCTGGTGGGGCAGCTACTATTAGTGCCGCCATGGGCGGGGAAATATTTTTACCGTCCTCCCTTTCAAGATAAAAAGGTTGTTGTCCGAAAATGCCACACCTGCATATAAAGAAAAAGTGACCACCCCATCCACCTTATTTCGACGCCACTAGCAGATGGGTATCTATAGTGTTTGGCGTCAAGGGACAAGATTCATTTCACACCCCTAACTCTTAAACTTTTTAATTTCAACCATTAAATACCATCAAAGACCATTTTGCCCCCTCCCCGCTAGTCTGGTGCCCCGTGAAATATGCCCCATCTACCACCCATTAGCTACGCCTCTGGCCACTGGCAAATGGCACAACCCACTGAAAATTTGAAATGCCCCCGCCCCACCCCGAGGGAAAATTTCTGAAAGAAACACTTCTATCACTTAGCTACGCGTCTTGCCACCGGCAAATGGCACCCCCCGAAAATCTGAAATGCCCCCGCCCCACCCCGAGGAAGAAACACTGGTCGAGTGTCGCATGGGGCTCTTTATCGACCTGAGCGCCACTCGGCCAGTTGACCACAAATCGTTTTTTACTCCTAAAAATATGGTTCTTGAAAAGAAATTGTGCTCTCAAAAATGTTTTAATCGTCCTGCTACTGATTTTTGCTCTTTTGACTAATGCGTTTTCCGACCTAGCTCATTCTTATATACCATAATATATGATCCGGTGTAACCGGGTTAATACAATACAGAATATTGTTCTACTTTCCACATGTTCTTGCAAAAAATCCAATTCAAAAACATCTAACCGAATCGAGTTTTGATGTATTTTATCTTCAAACACAAAATACCGACAAATTTCAGCAACCCTATATTGTAAATAGTAAGAAATTATCAATAAAATGAGCGAATTTAACTCATAGTTATAAGTTAAAGATCTCTTTGTTTACAACGTTGTCAGTTTGGCCCTCCGGTTTTAGTACGATCAAGTTGTGCGCTGAGCTCACTCTTCAGCATGCAAGGTATAGTTGGCGATCCGAAAAGCAATCCTACCTCAAAATCAAAGCCAACTTTTCGTAGGGTCTGTGCCAGGAGGATTTAGCGAGTTGAGAAACTCTGCTAGATATTGCACTGCATCTTCCACTTCCACAACTGAATCCACAGACTGATATGTTTTAGATTCTGAAGGTATTTCTTGAAGTAAAGTGTGTTTTATAGTTGTAGTCACGTGATTTCTCGGTGTAAAGATAGCTCCCTCCCTTAACCATGACACTTCTTTTTCGTGGAGATTTCGTAGATTGGGGTAAACATGTTTAAGCAAGTCTGGTAAGGTATTCATGAGGAAACAGAGATTTGAAGGAACAGTAATTTTACGATTTTCTTGACTGAAGCCGCCATCACCGATACCATTAAGAAGAATAGAGAAATCTGCGGCTTTTTTTGTCGCCTTTCACACGAACCCTCATATGTAATGTCAAAGAAAGAACAATGAGGCCAAAAGTATGAAGATTTAAGACATGCTTTAACTTCGTCAGCGCGTGTTCCTCTTGGCACAACCGGTAGGGTTTGCCGGAAGTCTCCAGCCAGCAGAACTGTCTAACCTCCCATTAGCTTGTTGGTGTTACGGATATCTTTGAGCGTCCTGTCTAAAACCTCAGCAATCCCTTTGTGCACCATAGTGGATTCATGCTAGACAATAAACTTACAATGTCTGAGCACTTCAGCCATGTTGCTCTGCTTTGATATGTCAGTATGGCTGAGGTTCAGAGGTAGCTTAAAAGCTGAATAAGCAGCTCTTCCGCCCTGTAGAAGAGTGGCAGCGATGCCAGATGAAGCCACAGCTATAGCAATGTTTCCATCCGCTCAGATTTTTGCAATCTGGATGTTTATGAGGAATGTCTTACCAGTCCCGCCTTGAGCATCAAGAAAAAAAACCGAGCCAGTGGTCGAGGCAACGCTCCTCATGACTTGCTCATAAACTGTCTTGTGCTGAACATTTAACAGCAGCTCGTTTTCTGTACCTATGTTGGCCGATTGCGAGGTGTTGTAAAATGTCTCTTTCAAGTATTCGGAATTTGACGTAACTTCTGTAAGTTCTCTGGAAGGTGTCGGGCAAACGTAATGATCAAGAGCTTGACCTCCAATAGCAGTCACGTAGTTTTTCAAGCAACTTCAGACACCTGTTATAGATCAAATACAAGTGCTGGGGGACTTCTGTTTCTATATGATCTTCTTCACTCTGTCTCATAACATCTTCTGATATGCTGTCTTAATGTTTTCCCTATAGTTTTAAGGGGTTTCCCATTTGGCAGATGTCCAGCATGACATCAATAAGCTCACGGATCTTTTGAGGTGAGCGAGAGAAAGCAGCTTCCAGTAGAGTCTCGTCCCAGTTTTTGTCGTCCTGTAACAAACCCAGTGCCGTGCAGGCCGACTTATAGGTTGGATGTAGAGCACGATTAACTGTTCTGAGATATTCGAACGACGTGGGACCTTTGATTTTGTAGAGAAGCAACCGATGATGGTAACATTCTGAGTTATTCGGGTGCACAGTATAGTCCCGACCCAGCACATTATCCTTTTTCACACCCAAAACCGCCGGCACAGTTTTCCCCTGCTACTTTCGACGAAAAATGTTGTTTGTCCACACATAACATGACGTAATTTCATAATAATAAATTTCTTTTTCAAAAATCATCATTGTTACAAAGTTCAAAGAACGCTAAAAGAGTCGTCTGTGGTGGATTGTGTACTTTATCGACAACATTGGCCTGTGTGAAGTAAATTCTTTGTCCGTTCTCAAGATGCACAGCAAGATGAACGACCGGGGGGGGGGGGTAACGTTCAGGAATGGGGAAACAGGAGAGGCACCAGGCTGCCTCAGAACTATTAATGTAACTTGGATTGTGTACTTTATCGACAACATTGGCCTGTGTGAAGTAAATTCTTTGTCCGTTCTCAAGATGCACAGCAAGATGAACGACCGGGGGGGGGGGTAACGTTCATGAATGGGGAAACAGGAGATGCACCAGGCTGCCTCAGAACTATTAATGTAACGGCCATGACCTCCTTCAGACGGCACGTGACTGGGTACTGACGGTAACCATCTTCACCGTCTGAGTTTCCGATATAAAGAGACGCGGGTACTTTTTACTGCATATTCCGTTGATCATGCAGGTTGAGTTGATATTATGAGGTCCGCATGGACCGTGAATCATCGTTGATTCTGGTTGTTCGTCAGTCGGGAGTCGACCATGACACTTTAATCATCAGAATTTGTGCTCGCTCTGTCTGTGGGTGCGCAGATGGTTAATGAGGCCGATTCTGGAACGAAATTCTGTTGGGCAGTAGGTGCAGGGGAATGATGGCGCATCTCCGGGAGCAGATTCAGACCGGGCCTTCCTGCCATGTCTCTTGCGCTCAGCGCCCGCTGTTCTGCCAACTTCATGTTGCAAGGAGCTCCTGTGTAAAGTGGAACGCCATGAATTTCGATCCTTTGCTTTTTCATCCCACGTTTCTGGGTTTATGTTGAACGCATTCAGTTAGGCTTTTATTTTGTTTTTAAAGCGTTTTTCTGCCCGCCAACGAACCGCTTTCCTTGTTCAAGCTCACCATAAAAAATTCTTTTGGGCAGACGGTCATCTGACATTCTCACAACATTCCCGCCCAGCGAAGCTGGGACTTCATTAAGATTGTGAAGATGCTGGTGAGACTTGCCATTGTGAGCACCTCTGAGTCTGGCACCATGTCCTGCCATTTAATGTTGAGGATTTTTCTGAGTCTTGTTGTATGAAAGTGGTTCAGTATTCTTGCATGGCATTGGTAGACCGTCTACGTTTCACAGGCATAGAGAAGCGTAGGGAGAACAGCCGCTGATATACTTTCAGTTTATTTTGAGTGCTGATACCTCTCCTGGTCCATACGTTCTTAATCAATTTTACTTTTTCGTGGAGGTTAGGGTCAGTCTGTGGATTAGGAATTTCCGCACGGATGACTTGATCGATGGCACCTGGGTTAATCCTACGCTTTAGCCACAGGAAGATGTGTGCATGGAGAAGACCTCGCTTTTGCCACTCTATGGTGTACATGTAGCAAGTTGTGCAGCCACAAATGTTACTCTTGGTGAGCAAGTCTATCATTTTGCGAATTTTCAGATAAAATACACGACTGATGAGGTCGTGGCGATCGTGAGGTTTCTTGTGCGGAAGGAGCACTTTAGCGATATCAGTCCATTTAGGATTGCAAGTAAATGTAATGAATAAGTCAGGGTGGCCATAATTACGTACGTAGGTCATTGTGCTTGTGTACGCTTGTGCATATAGCGAGGTCCTCCAGTGAAGGAGGATGGTAATATCACAGCCTTACCAAATTCCGCTAAATTAGTGTCGTTTTTCTCAATAACATCTTTCAGGTGGACGTAATTTTCAGCTCGTAGTTTCTTTTGGTTTAGTCGTATATAATGTATTATTTCGGATTCAATTTTCGCGTACATATCATCTAAAAACTGAGTTAATAAACTTCTGACCAAAAATATAGTTTTTTTCATAATGTTGTCTGATAATCAGCCGATATGAATAGAAGTTCGCTGCAGGCACTGTTTTCTTAATAGGTAACTTACTGTCAGGATCAACTTGCGGTATAGACACATAATAGCCGTCCTCAGCATTACAGAACATGAGGGGATATTTAAGTGCATCATAGGATATGTGTCTTTACTTAATGCAGTGGTTCTCAACCTTTCTAATGCCGCGACCCCTTTATACAGTTCCTCATGTTGTTGCGACCCCCAACAATAAAATTATTTTCGTTGCCGTTTCATAGCTGTAATTTTGCTTCTGTTATGAATCGCAACGTAAATATCTGATATGCAGGATGTATTTTCATTGTTACAAATTGAACATAATCAAAGCATAGTGATAAATCACACAAAAAAACCCAATACATTGTGAACAGAGTCTCAGACAGAACAGGGGATGACCCATTCTGACGCTAGGAATAGGTCTAAATTTATTTTAATTTTTCATCCCCATAACCTTAAAGCTCGTTTTCTTGTTCTGAAAAAAACACTCAATTCTAATGGCAGACACGGTCACCAGAAAACCTCCTCTTTTCGCTTTCCGGAGGGACAAGAGCCTTAGGGACATGCTAGATAGAAGCCACCTCCCTGCTATCAAAGAACATAAAGGCACCAAAAGTTGCGACCGTGGCCGTTACAACACATGTCTATACTTGATTGAAGCTGATAAGATTTTTCCCTCTGGAAATATTCAGATAAAAGATGTCTTTACCTTCACAAGTCGCAACGTGATTTACACCATCCTTTGTAAAAATTGCGGTAAATTATATATAGGAGAGACAGGTCGTCGCCTTGAAGACCGGTTTATGGAACATTTCAAGATGGCAAAGATGTCAACCAAGTAAGATATTTCTGCAGTTCCCTTTTATCACTAAAAAGTGCTTCGAACGGCGGTCTTGCTTTCTGATTAAAAAAAAAAAGTTTGAGTTCATTACGAAACTCAGCTCAAAAACAAAAAAAAAACTTTTCCTAGAACTTATGACGCTTTTCATTACTTCTTGTAACTCTTGTGGCAGCGTCTTCATTACTAATATTTTCCGACTAATCCATCAGTAAGTTCCGATGACTTTTGGTGATTCATTCAGTAAAAACGTTGAAATCCAGATCGACATGCTAGCATAGCTCGATCACCATCTGTGCAAACACAAAAACCCCTTTTCCCAAGAGATATTATGATAGAAATCCTAACATAACTATATATATATATAGAGCACCATCTTTGCAAACAACACAAACCTTTTGCCAAGAGATTTTATGATCTTCAAGAAATAAACCACTTGTGTCAAATACATCACGTGCAGTAATTGTCGTTTCAAGAGGTTTGCAAAAAGAGACTTATCTTTATAGTCGCCATCATTCATATACCTCACATAAATTAGTAACTGTTAACAACTTGCAAGTCTGTAAATTCATCCAGCTGGATACTAAATATTGGAAGTGGAGTAGATTAAATTTCCTGGATTACCTAATCAAGAATATCAACAGAAATGTCATCTATTTTTCTGCGGACAGTGTCGTTAAATAAGGAAATTGCACTCAATTTTGTAACAAATTTGTCTCCATTCCATAATGAACATTTGTGACATGTCTGGTTTTTTAGCCGTACAAAAACAATCGGTTTCTAAGACCATCGGCATTGGAAATGTGTGTTTTCCAATGGTCTTAGGCGACTCCCAAAGGGGTCGCGACCCACATGTTGACAACCACTGCCTTAATGCGTTGCAGTTTATGGTCTCTGCTTTTCAAGATAATGTCCCTATTCTCGAACGTTTGCCCCACGATGACAACACCAACTTCACGTGCTGCAGGTTGATTATATCTGCCTTTGTGTGCATGTGATGGTTTTTTGTCGTCGTGAATGACAACCTGGAAGTCTTTGTCTTGATCTGAAATACTGTCGATTGAGGATTGGAAGTCTTTGATATAAGTGTTACAATCATGCAGCATTTTCTTCAATTGGCGCACCAGGGTCTTGTTAAGCCCAGAAACATTAGCGCACCTTATTTCTGCTTCCATTTCATCGTTCTTGACAAAATACATTTGTAAAAAGGTGTGTTCCACAGTCATCATGGGTAAAAGACTACTAATCAAGTGGTACACTTGTCCCTGGACTTTAAATGAAGGCATATTATTCCCTCATCGATATGATTAGCATCAAAATGGCGTCATTCGAAAAGCGCTGTTGTAATTGCGAATGTTGTTCAAGAAATGCTCACTTTGAGGATGATCGCCAGGTTAGAGGGCATTAAGTGGCTGAGGGAGCTTGTGTAAAGGAGTGAGACAAACTTTACCAGCGTTAGAGCACAAACCAGGAGACTCGAATTTCCACCTGAGAGCTTGGCAATAGTCACAGACAACATCCATGAATCCAATGCGTACTACTTCGTCAGATTCATAATCCATGTTTGCGGCGCACGAAAATCCTCAATCTTTTTTTTTTAGCGAAACCTTTCACTTTCGCTTTAGATTTTTCTGGCATTATTTGGCGGCAGCGTCGCGAAGTTTCAGTCTAGGCGCTTCAGAAAATCTACCACGACGTCTCACATGCCTCATTTTTCTGGTTTGTCATAGCTTGGAGTGCTGTTGGGATGAAGCATGTTTCAATGTTTCTTTCAAATACTTTAGTATCTGGTGTACTGGTGTGCAAGTGACATTCGGCCTGTGTCAAGCGTTGCAAGCATATAACCGGTTGCATAGAAAACTTGTTGTCCGTTGCCATTACTCCAAGAAAACACTACACAATAATAATTCTTCATATCCCTTTACACACAATACGTCACAAGATATTAAGCATAATAGATAAAACAACACATATAATCTCTAAACAACACGCAATCACAATATTTTGTTGTTAATTTTATTTATCTAGCTCATTAAAGGGGAAAAAAAAAACGAATTCTGGGCCCCCCGTTGTGACCAGTCCGCGTAGAGTTTTGAAATCAACTTTTTATGTAAGCTGTAAGGAATAAGCCTGGCAAATTTCAGGCTTCTATTTACAGGGGAAGGTGGAGAATTAGTGATGAGTCAGTGAGTGAGTAAGGGCTTTGCCTTTTATTAGTATAGATTTAGCAATAGGCAATTAGACATTGGTTAATTTAAAAAAAAGGAATATATTTATACATCAATGGGTTTTGAGAACTATATTCCTCTAAATAATATTGGCCAACCCAACCATATTTCAAGCCTCAATGTTTTTAACTTTATCAACAAATATATGTACCATTTTAAATAATCTTTAGCATCAACAGATTTTGATATCTTCTCCTTCTATATTTTGACGGCCCACGATCAATGTATTGATGATTCTGGCTCCAATGTTTGTAGAGGGGTTTGCGATGTAACTGTGCGTGGTTTTGAAGATGATACTTCACTGGTTGTAAGCAGTGGCGTAGCTTTTGTTGGTGTCATCTGGTGCGGTAAAGTCATGGTGTCCCCCTCCCCCCCCCCCCTTCCACGATGGGTTTCCTCTTTTTGAAGTATGGCTACAGTTTAACAATGAGAATAACAAAAACAAATTATTTAAAGGTCAGGAGATCAATGTATTTAAGAACTGTTGCAACGTCAAGCTATAGTTATTTTTACATTAAATTTACTTTATTTAACATTTTCCTTTCATGGGCTTCAAAGCCGCAAAACTGTCAATCACTTGATAAAAATCAATATCCTTCACCGTATCACTTTCAGTTGATAGTAGAGCCAGATCAGAAAGCTTGACCATCCCATGGATGGATCTTAAATAATTCTTGATAAGCCTTAATTTTGGAAAGCTCTGCTCACATGAAGCCAAAGACACATAACTCGTAAGAAACAGTTGAAGGCTTGGTTAGAGTATTGGAAGAGATTCTAGGAAGTCCCATTCAGCTTTGAATTTCAAAACATGAAAAAAATTGACCAGTACATGAATTTGTAAAATTCAATATCAGCTGCCTTTAGGTATCTTTAAAGCCTTAGTATTTCTTGTTCAAACATAATTCTTTTGTTCAAGACGAATGTCAGATTTAATTTTCAAGTCAAAGATTCGCAAATTACACCAAGCAAAAATACATTTTCAGACCCTTCCCCGTCACAAATTCTTTACCTCCCTCCCCCCCTCCCCCTTTCCCTTTAGTGTCACTTCACACATAAAAACCAAGAACGAGAGCGGTATTTGCGAGGTAGGAAAGCCAGCATTCTTAGTGACGTTCGGTCCAGTGTTTGGTTCAGGAGAGTAGAATTTGCCAGGAGGATGCAAGCCTGATATAATAGTACAAGTAAAAGTCTTTTGAGGCATAAGGGCATCTGAGCAGGGCACGATCTTGATGCTCTATGCAAAATGTCAACAAACACGCAGTGACCAGCCCCCGCTGTGCGGGAAACTGTTTTCTTACTGAAGTCTAGATTGTCAGATGAAACATCTACCTCTGATCTATTGGCATCACTGAATAACAATTTATTTTCCAGAGCCGCTACTACAATAATTTAAAACGTAATATTGTATGTGAAGATACCTCCAGTTACTCCAGTGTGTAGCAGTCTGATAGCAAACACTTAGCTTAATGACATTTACTGACATGTAATACAGGAAGCGGAAATAAAGATGGCACCGAAAATCAACATAAAAGTTCACAATCTCCGAAATCACATGATTAACTAAAAATGTTGAGGACAGTAACTTTTGGCCAAGCCCTTGACCAGTATTAACATCATTTTAGCTTATAACCACACTATGTTTACAATCTGATGGACTAGAAATTTCATAATCGAAGAAATATTGCTCGTCGAAACATAGGTAAACAAACATACGTCTTCGCTGGGCATGCGCAAACCCCAATTCATATGTTGGTATCGGTATACAATTTTTCCCCAACCTCTGCTTCGCTCCTGAACTATATTATCAGAAAATTGTTAAAACAGAATTCTTATTGTTCAAGACGAATGTCTTATGTAATTTTCAAGTCAAAGGGGTCGTTCGCAAATTACATCATGCAAAAGTGATATTTTCAGACCCTCCCTCCCTCCTGCTACAAAGTGTCACAAATTCTTTAACCTCCACCCCCCTTTTTTAAGTGTCACGTCACACATAAAAAAATTCAAAACATACATACAATTTCCATAACTGAACTTAGTATTTATTTTATTCTTTAACATTTTCCAAAAATGAATGGTGATTTTGTATTTTTAGAAAACTGTGACGTAAAACGCAAAACAACGAAATCATCCCCACGCCGAATGTAAAACGACCGCAACAGTTTTTTGCGACATTTTTAGATATGCGCAGAAGGTGTGCACGATTGAGTTTAACGGTACATGAAATACCTGAGGCAATTTCGACCTCAAAATAATGCTTTTAAAATTAATTGAATAAATATTTTTCAAATTAGAAAATTTTAGATGTAAATTTTATTGTTATGTCAACCCCCCCCCCCCCCCCCGAGCGTGACGTAATTTGCAAAAGACCCCTAAAAATGACTATTCTTTATATCAGGCCTGCACAACTCAAAATGTAAGGCGGGCCGTAATACTTTATGAAAAACTTGTGCGGGCCAAAAGAAAATAGGACATGAGCTCTGCGGGCCTAAAGAATATAGGTTATGGGGAAAGCTATTAAGAAAATAATAAGAATAAAGAATATTTCGTTACTTCGCGGGCGGCAAAGTGGGTGCTGGTGGGCCACATGCGGCCCGCGGGCCGTATGTTGTGCAGGCCTTCTTTATATCATAAAAATTTTCCATGTCCCTGAACTGTCCGCTGCGCAAAATGTAAAAACAAATATTTCCAACGAAAACCTTATCCTTACATTTTCACATGCATGAACTATATTTTTGGAAATCAATTTGTTAAAGATTAAATTTCCATGTCTGTAAAATGTTTGGATTTTAGATATTTTATCTACAAATATGTCCCCAATCTCGTTTATTCACATTTCAATGTTTTTCACGATAAATGTACAATCCATTTTTAATATAAAATATTGTTATCCACATAAAAATGAACCAACCCTTAATCCCCAACCTTGAAATGTAACTTTGGAAAATTCAAAATTTGCGCTGTCATTATTTTTAAAGAAACTCGTAACCCATATGTCTTCCTTTTAAATTTTATTGAGTTTCGAGGTATAGGTATACTTTTGTAAATGTGTTAATTAGTGTCCATAATATGTGAACACCCTTTAAATCACATTTTCCGACATAACTGTAACTCGCAATTATTTATTTTAAAAGAACATCTAACACATCATTTTCACGACTGTAATCTAACTGGATTTAAAGATATTGCGTCCACACGGGAATGTACACATCCTATTCCATCTCTCTGATATGTATACACCAAATAAGTTTAATTATATATTATTTATCATATTGACTCCTTCATTTGTAGGCAGATCTTGTGTTGCATGTTGCAAAATGAAGTTATCGAATTCCTCCCCCCAACCAAACGTTAATAAAATCCTCCACGGGATAGTAGCCCATTACGTACGCAACAACATATTTTTGCACATCCTTGAACTTAATTAAAGTGCTAAAGCCCGAGTTCCCTTTTAACATACATTGTTTTATAAATTCATTAAAAAAAAATTACATATATAAGTATACGCACAATTCCATTTTTTGAAATATTATGGTTATTTATTATAATATTAAAAACTATATCAAAGTTATAATTTCTTACATAATTGGGTTTTGAGATATTGATATTAAAATGAACGAATTGCAACTTGATATTTTATGTTCTTATTTTTTATGAGTGATAAATGAATTATTGAGTGCTATTTGACTATGCAGTTGCGTCGGGGATGTCCCTTTGTCAGGACAGCCCCCACCCGAGTCTTCTCGACCAGGGTCTCCGCCGGGGGCCGTCCTAACCCAAAGACACCCGGTCGGTCCGACACTTTGTTTGCTCACAGTGCACACGATCGACTTTCTAAGGAGTCAGGATGGAAAAATGTACGTCCTAATATCTTCCCCCACCCATCCCGGGGAAGCGTTAGACGCCCTATAAGAGGGATTCTACAGTGGTTTTCCACAACGCAACTAATTCGCGATGCAGCTGGGACGAAACGGTTGCCTTGGAGCAGCTTCTCAGGGCTGCGTAGTAAGAATCATCGGCCAGAGGTTACCACCTTCGCCTCTCGCTTCATATCCATTAACGGCAACTTGTAAACATGATCCCTACCCTGTCACTGCCTATTGTTCCAGTTGGGAAATATCACAACTGGCAGCCCTATAGGAGCTGTTTTATGTACGGCAGGTACCGAGCACATCCTTTGTTTGCCCACGCAGGATGAGCCCAGTAGTTGTGTTCCCCGGGTAACGTCGAGGGGGTCGATGGCCGACGCCTCCTAATCGGTCAAAATTTTGATCAAAATCAACATCCTTCACAGTATCACTTTCAATTAATAGCAGAGCCACATCAGAAAGCCTAGACTGTCCCATGGTGCATCGTAAATATTTCTTGATAAGCTTTAGTTTTGAAAAGCTCCGCTCACATGAAGCCACATACACACATTTCAAAAGAAACAAAATAAAGTCTTAGCAAGATTATTGGAAGAGATTCTAGCCAGTAACAAATTTGGATGTTGTTTCTGTAACATTAACAGCAAACAATCTGCAGCAAACACAATACAATTTTTGACAAACGAGTGAATAAAACATACACGACCGCAGTATTTTCTCGCCATTTTGCATCATCCCTTAGATCAATTGTTTTGTTAGTTGACGAACACCTCCTTTAGATTTCGCATTTTGCCTTGTCACTACACTGAATAGTCCGTTCTTTTTCTGAAACGAGGTACTCCATATTTTAATATTTTCAGACCGAAAATACATTTCAGGGAGAATCATTCGATAAAATTTGGCAGTTTTTTTTTCCATTAACCCTTACACTTACAGTATCTTGGTTTGAATCAACATAATCAGCAGACATTTCTGTTTCCAAATAAATCACGTCTTTTACATGTGTTTTCACTTCAGTCTCTTCCATTTTCTGCACTATTTGCTGAAAAGAATGCATGCTGCTGGTATCAAGAGAATCGGTATCAATGGTAGGCTGAGGAAAGTCTTTTGATGAACCCTGACCCTGGTCATAATTTGGTTTCTTGATATCGAAGCATGTATTCTGGTAGAGATTTTAGTGAGTTGCGTATTTCTTTTTTGCTTTTCACTGATGACAGCCACTTGGCAGTGAATATTTGTGCGCGCCGTGTTGCATGATATTCTAATCTTGAACAATAAAATTGCTCTTATTTTGTCATGTTCAAAAAACAAACAAAATAATTACTGACGACATTTAAAAAACAACAGTCAGAGCAATGTCAAAAATACAACACAGAAATGTACTTGGTAAAACCCAGCATTCGAAATATGACAATCGTGCTCAAATGTTAAGGGACAATACTAGTGACGAATCGGGGAAAATATTACTTTTTTAATATTTCTGGATTTCGATATATAACATTATATGTCTTTAAAAACTTTTCTTTACTTAAATTGAAATAAATAAGAATTAATCATTAAAAGATTGAAAATTGTGTAAAATGATATATCTTTTAATTCTATAAATGGGTAAAAATTCATTTTTAATGTTTTTAATTTTTACCGATTCTTAGAGGCCATTTTATCACTTTCAACCAAGTTTCGGTTTCGGTCAAAACTGAAAAGTTAACTTTCGGCTTAATTTTGGTTTCGGCGAAAAGACAAAAGTTAACTTTCGGTTTTTTCGGTTTCGGCCGAAATTGACTTAGACTTTCGGCCATCTGGCCGAAAGTGACTGAAGTTTTCAGTCATCTAATACTCAGCGAAGGCGATATTTAACAACACACTAAGCAACATTTAAGAACAAACTTAACGATCTTAAAGAACAAACTGAACGGTTTTTCAGAACGAACCAAATGATTTTTAAGAACAAAACAAATGATCTTTAATAGTAAACTTAATGATTTATAAGAATAAACTAAGCGATCTTTAAAACTAACTAAGCAATCTTTAAGAACAATCTAAGCGATCTTTAATAACAAACTAAACGATCTTAAAGAACAAACTAAACAATTTTTAAGAACGAACTAAATGATTTTTAAGAACAAAACAAATGATCTTTAATAGTATACTGAATGATTTATAAGAATAAACTAAGCGATCTTTAATAGAAAACTAAATGTTCTTTAGGAATAAACAAAAGGTCTTTAAGAACAAAATTAATGATCCCAAAGCAAAAACTATTGATCTTTAGGAACAAAATCATTTAACTTTAAGAACAAACTAAGCGAACTTTATGAAAAAACTAAGCGATCTTCAACAACATTTTAAGCGATCTTCAAGAACAATTTAAGCGATCTTTAAGAACAAACTAAACGATTCTTAATAACACGCTAAAATATCTATAAAAGAAACTAAATGATCTTTAGAACAAACTGGATGATCTTTAAGAACAACTAAGTGATATTTAAGAACAAATTCAAAGATCTTTATGAACAAATTAAACGATCTTTTAATGACACAAACTAAGCGATCTTTAAGAAAAAACTTAGAGATCTTAAAAAACAAAATAAACGATTTTTAACAACAAACTAGGCGATCTATGAACATACTAACCGATCCTTAAGAACAAATAAAGCGATATTTAAGAACAAACTGACCGATTTTTAGGAGCAAATAAAGCGACCATTAACAAAAAACTGAAAGATTTTTAACAACAAACCAGGCGATCTTTATGAACAAACTAAGCGATCTCTATGAACAGACTAACTGATCTTTAAGAACAAACTAACCAATCATTAACAACAAACTAAACGATCTTTAAGAACAAATAAAGCGATCATTAACAAAAAACTGAACGATCTTTAACAACAAACTAAGCAAAATTTAAGAACAAACTAAAGGATCTTTAACAACAAACTATGTGATCTTTAAGAACAAATTAAGCGATCTTTAAGATTAAATTGGCGATCATTTAGAACAAACTAAGCGATCTTAATGAATAAACTCAGCGATCTTTAAGAACAAACTAACCGACCATTAACAATAATCTAAACGATCTTTAAGAGCAAACTAAACGATCTTTAAAAACAAATGGCTTGCAGGTCGTGAGTTTGAGACCCCTATATTACATGCTTATTTATTAATATTCATGATTATCTCATATTTTATGAAAAGAATGTAAAATATTTATACTTTCCTCCATCATTTTCGATGTATGCAGAGTGTATGCGGGAACCAATTTCAAAATATCAAAATATTTCATTTTCGGTTTCAGCTTCGGCTTCGGTTTCGGCCGAAAGTCATTTTTAACTTTCGGCCTTTTGTCGGTTTCGGCCGAAATCAGAAAATCACTTTCGGTCGGTCTCTACCGATTCTTATACTTAGAATTTTTTTAATTTACTTTACAGGAGGATGAATACACCAAAACCCGATGAGGGTACATTCGTAAAAAATCGATTTTTAGGAGTTGAAAATTGGTAAGTACAAGTGGAAGTAGCGCAAAATATTTTCCATTATTTTCCCGGTAACTAGTATATACTAGTAAATATAAGAATAAGCTAGGGTAACGCTTATAACACTTAAAATACGACGAATTATTTTAAATACGTTCAGATTGTTATAAACTGTGATAGCGATTTTGTATTATTTTACAAAAATCTAATAAATTTAAATGTGCTTTTAAAAAATAAAATAAAATGTTTTCGCTTTATCTTACTATATGTTTGATTATTAGACTACTAGAGGATATCACCCGATGTTATCTAGATAATAATGACTGGAACTTTGCGATAATTTCCACCTGCTATTGCGACAACTCATCACAATTCCGTATTTTAAAAAAAGTACCTATGCAATAATATTTACGTTTCTAACACCATTAAACATTTTATTAAGTATTTTCCTGCTATATAGGCCTGTTATACGCCTACACCACCCCTTTTTGGGCCCCTACACTAATTTGTTCCCCTCTTAACATGACCTTAAATTATGAAATCTAAATGATCACTGATTAAATAATTGTTGTCAATGAAAGAGTTCACTGACGGCTGATTTCTACGCCAGATAAATACTTCAGATGTCATATGTTTTTTATTGTTATTTTTTGGGCCTCCACTGACGCTTTTCGTGTCCCTAAACTAAATTTTCTTTTCTCTAAAATTGTAAAAACTTAATCTTAAATTTAAAACAAAATCTCGATATATAATTTTAAATAAATTTTATGTTAAATGAATTTAATATACTAACACCTTTATAAAAAAATTTAACAAAACCTTTGCTTTCTTGTACATTATCGGAAAATTGGAAATTACATAATTCTTTTGTCTAAAAAAAGAATGTCTTTACCGCTTTTCAAGTCCGTAACAGCCTTGAGTGTCTTTTTTACAGAAATGTTATTAATCTCTTAACAATATACACATTAAATCCGTTTTACTTATTTTTTTATTCCATAAATGTACTTTTAACAAATTTATAAAAAAATAAAAAACGTAACGTTTAAGATTTAAAAAAAAGAAAATACCGTTTAACTAAATTAGTGCAGCGAAACTTCCTAGCCAAATACCACTCATTAATTCACTTATCACTCAAGCAAATACCAACAAACCATATGAAGTTGCAACTGGTTCATTTGGATATCAATATCTCAAAAACCAATTATGTGACAAATTTGTACTTTGGAATAATTCTTAATGTTAAAATAATAACCATTATTTTTTAATATACGGAATGGTGCGTAAAATGATAATAATAATTTAAAAAAAAAAGAAATCATAAAACAATGTGTTTTAAAAGGGAATCGAGACTTTAAAATTTTAATTAAGTTCAGGAACGTGCAAAAATGTGTGGGTGCGTACGTAGGGGACTACTACCCCCTGGATGATTTTATTATTGTTTTTTCTTTAAAAAACTGCGGGGAAGTAGAATTTGATAGTTCATACTGGCCCAGGCAGCACATAATACGCCTCGGAAAAAGGAATGAGTTTGATAAATAATTAACCTAATTGGGCACATTTATCAGGTGTAGGGGAATAGATTGTACATTTTTACGTTGTCGACAATATCTTTAAATCCAATAATATTACAGTCGTAAAAAAAGAGGTGTTACATTCTCCTTCTACAAATAAAATTATGTGTAAAAATTAAGAAAATACAGTTCAATGGCGTTGACCAAACGTGGTTATAGTTACATAAGTATACCCATACCTCAAATAAACATATTATGAAACCCAATCATTTTATACACTTGAAAATTTAATATTTAAAGCAGAGCAATATTTTGTTCTTCCTGTATAGTCTATAGTTTATGGGAGTTAACAATGATGAGTTAAGATTTTCTTTAAAAAAAAATTAAAATATATTTTTGTTTTTACTTTGCGAAAAGTCAAGTGGTTGTATATTTTATAATATTAATAACATTATTTTTAAAAAAAGATTATTAAAAAAAATTAATAAAATAAATACTCCTTGAGGCTGTGACAGATATAAAAAAAACAGTTAATGGATTCTTCTTGAGAAAAATGATAATTCAAAAGAGCTTTGTTTTACAATTTTCCGATAATATATTAGAAAAACAAGGCAAAAGTTTACTTAAGATTTTTATTAAGATATCAATATATCAAATTCCGTTAATATAAAATAAAGTAAAAACAGTTTATAGATTTTTGTTTCAAATTTAAGGTCATGATTTATAATTTTAGGAGAAGGAAATGGAGATCAGGGGCGCAAAAAAAAAAAAGGGGTTTGTTTGGCGGATATTATATAGCAGATAAATATTTAAGAAAAGTAAATGATGTTAGAAAGTAAGTATTATTAAATTGATACCTCTTTTTTTATTTCTTTTTTTTTTTTATAATTTAAGGTCATGATTTATAATTTTAGGAGAAGGAAATGGAGATCAGGGGCGCAAAAAAAAAAAAAAGGGGTTTGTTTGGCGGATATTATATAGCAGATAAATATTTAAGAAAAGTAAATGATGTTAGAAAGTAAGTATTATTACATTGATACCTCTTTTTTTCTTTCTTTTTTTTTTTAAAAAGTAACCCTGATGAATCTTCCCAATAGCAGGTAGAAAATATCACGCAATTACTGCCTTTTTTATCCCGGTATTATCGATTGTCAGTGTTGCTTGGAACAGATTTTTCAGAGCAATGCGATCTCATTAAATATTCTTAAGTAAGGCCTATATACGGGCTTCATTAATTTAGAATAAATTCGCTGTTAATATTATTATTACAGTTAGAAAATTTTACCGTGTCATAATTAATTTTTGGGGAAATTTTTTCATTCAAAAATTTGAAAATTTTAAGAAAACATTATCTTTTCCCCGGAAGATCTCGTGGGCCCCATTACAAGATCTAGTGGGCCGAAAGTTGCCCCTCCCCCTGATATAGAGATACCAATCTCCCAAACCCAAACTGGCAGTTTCTTAAAAAAAGTTATCTGTAATAGTTTGTTCCATGGTAATAATTTTAGCAGAATATTTTATCAGGTGTATATGAATGTAAAACAGTTTCGCAGCGTCCATTATATTTTATAGAGAATTAAATTTTGACAACGAGGGTCTAACCCAGTGGTTCTCAACCTTCCAAATGCCGCGATCCTTTCATAAAGTTTCTCGTGTCGTTGCGACCCCCAGCCACACAATTATTTTCGTTGCTACTTCATAGCTATAAGTATAGGTGTTTTCAGATGGTCTTAGGCGACCCCTGGGAAAGAGTCATGTGACCCCAAAGGGGTCACGACCCACAGGTTGAGAACCGCTGGTCTAACCAGTGAAATTTAATAATCGATGTTCAACTGTTCAAAAAATCTACATTTACTTTTTAAAAAAAAATTATATGAAATGTAACTTACAAAAGATATGGCTGATGCATTCAACTATTCCTTAATGAAAAAACAACAACTATTTTTAATACTATGCATTGGAGTTACTCACGTAAAATTATTTTCATAAAGAACAGAAAACAAATCGTCCCCAGCAGGCTGCAAAAATGGACTGCGCCATCCTCGTATTTCACTTGTAGGAATGTGGGCCTGCTCTGCCAAATTAGCTCGCTGACCAAGCACCTGTATTTAGAGAATTCAATTTTATTTTAAAAAATTATATAACGCCTCGAGGGGCCAGAAATAAAAAGAAAGGAAACAATGTGGCGTATGAGAAGTAAAATTCGCAAAATTTTATAAACTACTACTAATAATAAATGAAATGAAAAAATATTCTGTTGGGATATGTTTAACCGAACTTTTGTGAGAAAATTGAGAATCCTTTTCATTAGCTGGCTCAAAAATGTTTTAGTTCTATTCTTTTACGCAAAGCACACCCTATTACGTATGAAGGGTGGGCGGAGGGTGGTTGGTCCACCCCGGATGGCATTTTTTCTTCTCTACATTGAGTGGAGGCAATATGGAAAAAGGGAGGCGAAAATCTTGGAGGGACTAACCCATGCAAACGCCACTTTGCAAACCTCACTGCCTCTAAATTCACATCAACAATTCGGGATATGTATAGTGACTTATAGAGAATGCTGATGCACAGAACAAAGTTGATCCGAACATTGAAAATAATTTTGAAATGCTCAGTCAGATTTAGTTTTCCACGTTTCCCTTCTTGAAGAATACTGGTGCACATTAAAAAATTCATTACTTTTATGTAGAATTTGCTTATTATTTTGCAGCCCTTGAAGTTTGATTATCAAAATAAAATTGATTATGCAAGACCTGAAAAGCGAATTTATTTTTGTTGAAATCATGGTATGTTCTTTAAATTTTGCAGACCATTTTTTTTAAAAGGTTCCATAAAAAAAAAGAAAAAAAAAGATCCTTATTTTTATTTTGCAAACAGCAAATTACCAATCATTTAATATTTTTCGCCGTAGTTTTGGTTTCGGTCGAAAGGGTTTGAAGATTTCGGTCTCCTCAGAAGTTAGACTGTCACCCTGTCTGTCAGCTGGCAATCCAATAAATGTTGTCATATGTGAATAGTACTAGAGGATGGTAATATTTCCATTATTATGTTTGCTTTAAATTCGCGAGCGACGTAGTTTTATGATCTATTTGGGATTATTTTATTCGTCTGGACGAATTTTAATTTTAATTTTTTTAAATGCAATTTAAACTGTTCTGCACATGAACATTGGGTTCCGACATAATATTTAATTAGCTCTATTTGAAATCTATTTTGCTCCACTAATGAGGGTGGGGAGGCTGGTCGCCAAAAGAAATAATTACATCACCAACACGGAGAGACGCATGGTGGACTACAGTGTGTTTTAACTAGCCTAAGTATTACTATAATGCAACGGAGGCCAAACCACGGCTGGCGAGCCGCATGCGGCTCTTCTGTGTTCACATTGCGGCTCACGAACAATTTATGAAATTAAAACTTTTTTTTTGTTTGAAATATATAATATAAAAAAATAAATGAAAGTTTAAAAAAAAATCTTGACTGAACAAAGGGTTGAAAATAATTTGGGATTGATTTAAATTTTAAAAGTTAAGGGAGCGATTGGTTTCTGATTGGTTGGTGATGTGAACTGTTAAATTTCTGGTTCCGGTTCCGGTTCCGGTAAAAATCCGCATTTCAAAGTATTGACCATTACTGTTAGTCCTACTAAAGTTAGTAACTTATTATTTAAAAGTTTAAATCAAATATGGCAACCAGTTGCAGGAAACAAAAATATAAAGAAGAAAATAGAAGTTTTCTACAAGAATGGGAAGAGGACTTTGCATTTATCGATAAAGACAGTAGGCCAATTTGCCTCATCTGCTAAACACCGCTAGCAAATTACAAAGCTAGCAATTTGAAGCGACACTATGAAAAAAGTCATGAAGAGATTGCATCGCGGTATCCACTGCATTCTGAATTAAGAAAAAGCAAGCTGCCTGGGTTAAAGTCTGGAATGTGTCAGCAGCAGACACTACTTCCTGCTTTCAGCAAGGAAGGTGTCACTTCAACTGAGGCAAGTTATGCCACCGCTTTGAATATTGCTAGTGCTAAATGATAAATGACATTTTTCTAATGGGTCTTTATTAAGAAGACTATCGAGGAAGTAATTTCAATATTAGATCCAAATAATTCTAGACTTCGGCGACCGATAACACAAATTTCAATGTCACGCCACACTTCTGAGAGACGTATTTCAGACATTAACGATGATATTGAAGGAAAAAAATGACGACGATTTAAAGAACTGTGTAGCATTCAGTTTGGCTCTTGATGAATCAACAGATACTCAAGATACGCCACAATTGGCGGCGTTCGTTCGTTATGTTTCATTAGACGTGGCTGTAAAAGAAGTAGCTTAGTGGCACTGAAAGATACCACTCGCGGTATCGATGTCAAGACTGCCCTTGATAAAACACTATTGGATGCTGGTGAACCACTAAATAACCTTGTAAGTGTGGCAACCGATGGAGCACCGTCAATGCTTGGTAAAAATGTAGGTCTGGTGGGGGCTTTTAACGACTGATACAAAATATCCGGATATTTTTCCTGTACACTGCATCATTCACAGAGAAATCTTGCAGCCAAATATTTTAAATTCAAAAGTGAAATGACAACGGTTCTACAAATTGTGAATTTCATTCGTTCAAGTGCAAAAAATCATTGACAATTCATAAACTTCATTGGTGAGCTAGATCTCGAAGACAAACCAGATGACCATTCATTCCACTGTGTTTTTAGGTGATTGTCTACCATCAATGTTTTAAACAGATTTGTAGACTTGCTTGAACCCATTACTGCTTTCCTTTCAGAAAAGACAAGTCTTATCCACAGCTGGCAGACGAAGATTGGATGGAAGATTTGATGTTTCTAACTGACATTATGCAGCATCTACAGAATTCTGAACCTGTCGTTGCAAGGAAAGGATAATCTAATTTCGGATCTCATAAAGGATGTTTTTAGTTTTCAGAACAAGATACAGATTCTTCAAAGAGATATCCTGTCAAGGGAGTTTAAGCACTTTCCTCGTCTTCAGAATAGAGTTAGCTCATACTCTGATGATGGAATTCAACTTAGAAGCTTGGGGCATATAGAGATAGGTTACAAGGATTACTGGAAGATTTCCAAGCCAGGTTTAAGGACTTGCACCAACTAAAATCCTGTTCCGCTTTTCTCATAAATCCATTCATGATAGACGTAATTAAAGATGATTTCCAGCATCCCATGAACATCGTTATGGAACCTTCTGCTGCTGAAATGGAACCTTCTGCTGCTGAAATGGAACCTTCTGCTGCTGAAATGTTGCTGTTAGAGTTACAGGAAGATCAGAGTTTGGCGATGATACACAAGTCACAATCTGTGATGGATTTCTGGAAGCTCGTGCCAGAAGTAAAATATCCTCAATTTAAGAAAGCTAGTTGCCGACTTATATCCATTTTCGGTACAACCAACTGTTGTGAATCTTTGTACTCCACAATGAAGTTCATCAAATAAAAGCATCGAGCAGTAACTAGTAACCAGCATCTGACAAAACTTCTTCGCACCACAACTACTAGCTATTACCAGATTTAAGGAAACTTGCTAGTTCAAAGGCTTCTCAGCAGAATCATAACAATTAATATTCACTATAATTATGAGTATATATGCAGTGTGTTTCTATTCATAAATTTTACATATTTAAATATTTGTTAATTGTGTAACTGTAACGCGTACATTTCTTCAACTGTGTAACTGTAACACATATATTTCTTCAACATACGGTTAGGGTTAAAACAATTGAAACGTTTAAATCATTAAATTCCAATAAAAAGTAATTTTTTAAAATAAATCACAAAAGAAATTTTTAATTGTGAGTGGGGTGGTGACCAATGTTCCGTCTAAAGTTTGTTGATTCGTGTGCAAAATCATAAAGTTGTGTGCAAATTTTTACAGTATCAATTTTTTTGTGCGCAAAATTTTACAGCCTACAGACACAAACACACACTTAAGTGGAAATTAGACATTTTTTCTGTTATATTTTCATTTCTACTGTTGGCTGAGGAAGGCTTTATGCCTAAACGTCTTTATTTTTTGTCCTGTTATCATATTTCAAGCTTCCACATACCTCGTTTTGCTATTTCGTGTAAATTAGCTGCGCGGTACTCGAAACTGCTGCGTGGCGTCTGTGAGATTGCTACGCGGCCGCGCAGCCGCGCAGATTAAAGGGAACATTGGTCGTGACCCATAGTGTTTCAATGCGGCTCTCAACATTTTTATTTTATTTTAAAAATGGCTCTCAGTTACTACAGGTCTGGCCACCCCTGCTATAGTGATATCTAATGAGCTATTTATTAAAAAGCAAATCATTGTGATTATATTTACATAGTCTTAATAGCCAATTAAGAAATCATGGATTTAACAGATATTCAGGTGACAGATGGCTCTATTAGAGACTATGAGGAAAATTACTGCAAAATTTATGCATAAAATGAAGATTCATTCTGGTGACCCGGTGACCCCCCTCACGCTGTCATAAGCATGTTGTACATAGGCAATATATTTATTTTCCCTTACGATGAGAGGATGCAGAAGGAGGTGTGAAAATATGATTTTTTAAAATTAACTTTGTGTGTACGTTATAGAGGTCCGACTGTCCAATGAGCTCCGGCTTTCAAATTTAGCTACATCGACGAACGTACACATTGCGTGGATGATTGGAATGCTACCATCAGCGTGGAATTCGGCGCTACTCTTTCAAGACTATGTATTTTTTTAAATGCATCTTAACTACTCCACATAGCAGCGTTAGATTTTGACATATTCTATCAAATCTAGTAAGCGGCATTTGAAATCTATTTTAAAAGTCACTAAGCAGCTGTACAATTGTTAATACCCCAGTTTTGTACCATCATTTCTCTCTCCTTCTCCACAATATGTTAACGGAAAATTAAGTCAGGCTCCTAGGCGTAATGCGGGGCTGGGCAACCCGTGGCCCACCACGTTAAATTTTATGGCCTGCCAGATGTATCACACATGAACTCATCTCTACATGTAAAAACGAATATAAACGCACATTTATACATACATATAACGAAACATATTTTATAAAAACAACATTATAAATCATTTTTTGTGGACGACAGACACCATTATTCATTAAAACTAATAAAATGATTTTTTAAAATGTAAACCAACTAGGCAAGGAGAACCTAATTTTTTCCACAAGCATTGCGATTAAATCTAGAATGATGCAACTCTATATTCAGGTATATGCAAAATGGCATCCATGCGTTTTGAATTTAAAAAAAACCCAACAATTCTGGTAATGGGGCTCATCCTCCTCCCTACCCCCTACCCCTTTTGTTCGAGTGACTTTGGTGGGCGTCCAAAATTTCCTCTCCGCCACCACTTTTTTCGTCTTTGAAAGTGGTAAATGACGGGAAGATCTTTTTTGCAATGATCTACTGTATATAAAATGTCTATAAAACGTCAGGGATCTACTTTGAAAAATGACCTTTATTAGACATGCGATAGGAATAGTTATTGTATGCATTATATATAATGTTTAATCTTACAATACGATATTATACGATTTTGGGATGGTTAAGTACTATTCAAACAATACATTGTACAATTTTTGGAATTCCAGTGTAACCACGCCTGCTACTGTCACACGATAATAAACGCAGATTAACATTCGTTCGACTTTTGTTTATTTTTTGGAATCAAATATAAATTTAGCCGATAAATGATAATTGCGGATAAACGAAAAATTTAAATGTCGAGAAAGCGTGTTTCAATAAAACTGACGGTTAGCGGAAGAAAAAGTTCCTTCGAGGCTTATATCTGAACATTGTAGTAGGTCAACCCAATTAAAAAATATATAGGTTAAGCTTTTGATCGATACAAATATGTCTAGGTAGCGTTGGTTTTATATTACAAAAGCAATGGGCTCTCAAGCGTATATCTTTCACAAATTTTGCCTCCCCCTAATAAAGAATTTCTCTTTCCATCTTACTTTGATGCATTTTTAACATTTTAAATTACTTTTTAATTCAAAGTGTGAAAGCTAAACTATAGCTATTATAAATATTCACGATAATATCATTTGTGAAAAAATAATATAAATATCGATATTTTCCCCCATCATTATTTTGATGAACGCAGAAGGTGTGCGCGAACGAGTTTCGAAATATCGAAATCGCTAAGATTTTTATTTCGGATTTGGGTAAAGTAATTTTAAACTTTCAGTTTGGTTTCGGTTTAGGCCGACTTAAAAAATCACACTCGGTCTGTCTCAATTGAAAGTACAGTTTATTTTTGGTCTAATTTCAATAAATGTATTTAATACTTAAATTATAATTTTGATGATTTGATTTTAAGCCATCCCTCTTGATTTGTTACTCAAAGGACATGGTTTTGTATGTATTATCATATGTTTTAAATCAATTTTTCCTTGGTATGATGCTTGGTCGGATTATGATGTTTGAGGCACTGGGTACAGTCCACCTTAGGACACATGGCTGTCTATTCATTGTCCATAAATAGTGTTTTTAGTATGCCCGTGCTGGGACACCTTGAGCCGCTTGACAATAGTAAAGAAGATGAGATAAAAAGGGGAACCAACTACCCCTTCAATGTTTGCAATGTTTCTTATTGAAAATATAAAGAAGCTAGAATTTGCAGAATGGACAGAATTGACAGAATTAAAAAACCAATTTTTTAACTACTTGGCCCTGATTCTAATTTTAACTCAGCACCACAAATCGATTGACACGTCCGGGCAACAGTCTAAATCGATGTTTTGGTTTGTGTGAAATTACGCTCTGGAACGTCAAATTGGCAACGTGACAAAAAGTTAATTTACTAATGCAGAAGTTTTAAACAAATTAAGAGTTTTGTATTATAATACTGTTAATGATTATTATAAAACAACATGGTTCTTTAGTAAAAAATAAAAGCTTTGTATAAACACAATCAGGACAAGGGACAATGACAGACTGCATCTGAAGCAGCCAACTTTGACTCAGGTTTGCCTCCAGGAGAACGAACTCACAGACTAAAATATACACTATGTTCGTGGCTTCTTGAAGAGTCTTTAGGATGTTTATGCACAGTTTTAGTTGCCAGCATTATAGCTGCTGCTAATGGAACGTAGATGACAAGAATGTGTCACCTAAAGAAAAAGAAAACTCCCGTTAGTCTTCTTTGTAGTTGTTTCTTCCCGCTACCTGATAGCATTATATGAGAAATTTCTACTTTAGGAGCCAGGAGGGCTCATTTCCGTTTAGTTAATAATAATAACCAGGATTTTTGTGGACGATAGCGCCGAGGAAACCTTCCCAAGAGGATGCCAATGAAAATCTCCAATCTGCGTCTACAGGGGCTTGTGAAAACATGGGTGGTTATAGGAACCTGAACTATGGACAATTTCCTTGTGGCGTCCACATCTTTATGAGGAAGCTAATTCCGCCATCGGGGTAGCCGGGTGTCCCACAGCAATAGAGGCCTTCCGGGAATGCCACTGCTCTGCCCCCCCCCCCCTCCTTGATGGAGGCGAGAAAAATTCCTTTTGTAGATTAGCTTAGATTAATGAAATTCCAATGAAGTCAATATTTTAAATGTGATGCCTAAAAGCCCGTCGGTAAAAGAGTAAGAGGATGATTTGATAAGGCAAGGCTTAGTACCATGATCTAGTTGAGAGAATATAGTTTTATTGATCCCAGTAAATGGAATTTTTTTTCATTCATCGTACATATATTTTTTTTTCAGTCTTGAAAAGCCTTGTTGGCGTTTTTTGTTTTGTTCCCTGAAATAAGTCTGTAGTAAGACTTTCGTCGAATTATTGTGCGGTATGAATAACTGTTGAGTTCCTGAGTGTGAGTTGTCATGCCTTTTACAAATAAATCAAAACCCGAGTTCTCTTTTTTTTTTAAGATCATAGATTACTTCAGGACAAGTGGTTTTGCCAGTGGGCTGAAACCTTAAAAGCTAGGGGCTTGCACTATGTCATGTTCATACCATGCAAAAACTATTCTTGGTGGAAACTGAAGTGCCAATGTGACAGTTTGGTGACACAGATGAGACCGAATCACTCCCCAGTTCAGTGCTACTGCGACAAAGCACCAGATCTAACAGCTTTGCATCCCAAATCAATGTTTTTGTTCAAACTGCATCATGGAAGACCGAGCTCAGGAAAATATAGAGATTCAAAATAGACTATACGCGGAGAAAGAAGGTGGGTTTCTCCAAAGTAAATCTACTCCGTTGAAAAACATTTAAATGTAACTCATACCTAGGTGCTCTGATTTATCATTACTCGCAAGGAATATTACCACCCCAACCCAGAAAAAAAACTCTCTACAGTTTGACGAAAAAGCCACCACACCATATAAAGAAAAAAGTCCCGCCCCGGGTGGACCACACCCTCCACACCCCCTTCCTACGCCACTTTAAGCGACACCGTTTTACTCTCATGCACCAACGTAAGAAATAATTTAAAAATAATAATTAGTTCCAAATTCAGTTATAATGAATTTTACAACTAGTTAAAATTATTTTTATTAATGAATAATTAGCAATTTTCCAAGTAACAGCAAATAGCTTAAGTACAAAAATCCTGGTTCTAATTTCATACCTCAAATTCCATAGCGGCTTTATCGGCATCAGTCCACCACAATCTTGGTAGTTTGTGAGTAACACTGTGGTCACCTATTTCCATTCCCCGAGCATAGAGTTTGCGTACCATGCAGTAATCAGTAAAGTTGTGAGATACAAAGAATGTCGATGATATTGGACAACCGTTAGGATTTTTTCTTCTGCCGTCTGGTGGGAAGAGCCTGAAAAAAAGTATGTATTCGATAGATGCACACCTTGAATAAATACCAACCGAGGAAACTCCCAAAATCTAACTTCCCCTCAATTTATCAGTATGTTTAGAATATCATTCCTGCTTGTCCAATACTATTTCATGGGGGAGGAGATATCATTTTCTTGATTGAATGTCATCGAACGAAACTTTGCAGCTGGCTCTTCGACTGTGTTTCCCAACCTTATTTTTTGACATGCGCCTTATCTAATCACATTAAAAGTTTTGGTGTCACACTTTTTTCTACTTCATAGAAGGACTAAAAATAAAAAGAGATCTTCATGTTTCCGATATGAAGAATGCATTGAATTCAATGAATTAATTTCCATAATGAAACAATAAATCCAATACATGACAGTAAATTATTAAATGGCAGTTCTATATAGAATAAATATATTTATACATTAAAATAGACTAGAATGTATGTCCCGATGTTACTGGAATAATAATGGCAGACATCTTAAGATATTTTCTAACTGCTATTGCAAAAACTCATCAGAATATCATTTTACAAAAGTGTTTATGTACTTATGTTAACGTTTCTAAAAACATTTTTTTAGTAATATTTATCTGCTATGTAATATCCACCATTTGCAACCCACTTTTGCGCTTCTGAACTACAACTTTTTGCCTCTAAAATTGTAAGACATGAAATTAAATTTAAAAAAAAAAAAAAAATCTAAATAAGGTTTTAAATAAATTAAAAATTAAAAAAATTTAATATATTCGTATCTTCATAAAAAAAATTTAATCACACATTTCCCTCTGTTCTTTTCTATATTATAAAAAAATCTTAAAAAAAAAAAAAATTTTTGCGCTTCTGAACTACAAATTTTTGCCTCTAAAATTGAAAGACATGAAATTAAATTTAAAAAAAAAAAAAAATCTAAATAAGGTTTTAAATATATTATAAATTGAACAAATTTGATGTATTCGTATCTTCATAAAAAAAATTTAATCACGCATTTCCCTCGGTTCTGTGCTATATTATAGAAAAATCGTAAAAAAAAAAAAAAATATTTTATCTAAAGTAGAATATCTTAATAGTTTTTCAAATTTGTAACAGCCTTAAGTGCCTTTTTTTAATTTAAAGAAATTTGATTAATCTCATAAAATTATTCACCCACTTTACTTTTCAAATAAAAAAAAAATATATATATATATATACAGTGGAACCTCCCATAACGAGTTTAATTCGTTCCAGACTCTTACTCGTTAAGCGAAACACTCGTTAAACGAAACAATTTTTCCCATACAAATCAATGTAAAATACGATAATGCGATCCATGTTGAAAAAATACTAATTTTTTAAAAAATGTTATTAACATTTATTCAAATAAAATTACTTATGGAGTGTAACAACTTGGAATACAATTTATATTTTAAATAAAAAACGTAAATAAAAATATGAAATAAATATATGACAAATAATTAATCCTTTTAAAATAGAAAACTCTCAAACTCTCTAAAGACATTTGGTTTTTGCCGACAGCATTATCATTGAATAAATTTGTAGCACGAATAAGCCAGCCACCTCTTTATTAGGGTGATGCTTCTCAATGTACGATGAAACAGTTTCCCCTTGAAGCATCCATCTCCTTAATTTTTTTTTTGTTCTCGAGAATAGTGCAGATCGTTGATGTTGACCGATTGTATGTGCGCGCTAGATTAGCCACGCTCACACCTTGTTCTCGCTTTTCAATGATTTTACCTTTCATTTCAACAGTTATTTTTTCTCTTTTATGATTGTCTTCTTGTGTTTTTTTCTTCGAAGACATTTTAGCACATGTTATTGCACTTTGCACATAAAAAAATTACGAATGCTGTCTGAATACAAAATTTGTAAAAACTGATGATCACACACGAAAACAATACACTAACAGACCGGAAGTCCCGGCTCACAAATGAATGTCAGGAAAACGTGACTTCCCCTTTCTGCGTAACTCGTTATGGGAAATATCGCTCGATAAGGGGGCAACTTCTTCACATTTGTTTTGCTCGTCATGCGAATTACTCGTTATGAGAGGTACTCGTTATGAGAGGTTTCACTGTATTTTCACTTTTAAAAGAAAATTTAACCCATTTATGTTCACGCCCATGAACTGTAAAGAAAAAATAATATGGCCCTATTTTTAATATCAAATTTTCACATGTGTAAAATGATTGGGTTTTGATATTTTTTATTTGATGTATGGGTAAAATTAAATAAATGTATTCACGCTTTCTTAACGCCATTAAACTATATTTTCTTAATTGTTAAACATATATTCATTTGTAAAAAGAGAATGTCACACCTTATTTTCACGACGGTAATATTATTGGAATTATAGATATTTTCATCCACGTAAAAATGTACTCACCCTATTCCCTACTCCTAATATGTGTACCTAAGAAGACAAACTATTTATCAAATTCAATACTTTATTCTCAGGCGTATCTTGCTACGCCTGGTGCAAAATGAAAGGACCAAATCCCAACACCACCCCTTCAACCCATGGGTTTTAATAAAAATTAATAAAATCAGCCAGAGGATGTTAGCCCCTACGAACGCACCAACACATTTTTGCACGTCCCTGAACTTAATTAAAATTCTCAAGTCCCAGATCCCGTTTATTAGATTCGTGAAAAAGAGATGATACATTCTCTTTTACAAATAAGCACATTATAAACACCAATTAAGAAAATCAATGGTGTTGACAAAACGTGTGTACATTTACACAAGTATACCCATGAATATCAAAACCCAATTTTTACACACGTGAAAATTTAATATTAAAAATAGAGCCATATTTTTTTTATTTACATGGGCACGAAAACAAAGATGTTTTAAGTTTTTCTTTCAAAAAATGGAAATTTATTATTTTTTTTATTTTACGAAAAAAGGGGGTGTTTATTTTTATTAGATTTATAACATTTCTTTAAAAAAAAATAAAACACTAAAGGCTGTTGTATACCTGAAAAAAGGCTCAGAGATTCTTCTTTACATAAGATAATTCTTTGTTTTACGATTTTCCGATAATATCGTAGAAAAACAACACGAAATTTTCGTAAATTTTTATTGAAGGTATCAAAATATCAAATCCAAATTATGCTATACAATATATTTAAAATTGTATATAGAGTTTGTGTTGCAAATTTAAGATTATGTTTTCACCCTTTTGTGGCCCAGTACCGAGAAATTCTGAGATACGCGAAAAGATACCATGTACAAAACGATATTCACAAAAATAAATAGTTTAAATAGACATGTCGAGATCTCATTAATAAAGTATATTCCTTATTTTATTTATTTCTACTGCATTTGGTATGATTTAAGATAATTTTTTTTCTCCTTTGTATATTCTCTGTTTTCTCACAGTCATCTGGAAATATGTTTGTACATGCAACTGTTGTAAAGAACATCTCTATCTTCACCCCCCTCTCTCTTCCCCCTCTCTCTCTGCTATCTCTCTCGCACTCTCTTTTTCTTTGTCTCTATTTCTCTATCTTTCTATTTCTTTCCCTAGCTCTTATATCTTGCTTTTCACTCTCTTTTACCACATCTACCTCTCATTCTGTTTTCTCTTTAATTTCAGACTTTGAGTAGTAATGTTGGCTGACTGTTTTGTTATTAAATGGTTTTTAGGCCACCATCACTCACCACACACACAACTTAAAGCTCCTATGATAACATATCGGTAGGACAAGCGTCGGGTTTTAATGGCCTCTCAACTACTGATGACCTAAAATACTGTTGAAATTAAATTGTTCGCATGAGTTGTTTGATATCAAAACAAAAGTGCATTAGAAAATGATGTCAAGAACTGACGTATGTGCGCCTCTAAAACACTCAAAAAACACCATTTATATAAACCCCAAAGTGCCACCCTCTTGGCACTCCCATTAGCTCACCACTGATTTTGTTGATAACACAAACAACTTATTAGATAACTCAATTCAATTTAGATCCAAAAATATATATTATTTACCTCAGATAATATTGCCAGTTGTCCCAGTTGACTGCATCATCAAAGGCTATCAATACCATCTGAGGAACTTTGTCAGGACGAAGATTACCTGGTATACTGTGTGCTGGGCATCGACAGGCTGGCGCGTGGCATGTATGTCTGGAACAGCTATCATGTTGTGCTTCCAGTACATTCAAATGAAACGTGAGTAAAATAAATACAACGCTCAAAATAACCATCGTGTTTGCAATTTTTACAACATGAAAAGTACAGCTTATTATATTTTGATTGCATTTTATTTTAGTAAGGCACTCCATATTAGAAAAAAATTAATGTATTTGATCCTGTGAAAGAAAATACTTATACACAAGTCCTTGCAATCTAAAATGGTGTTGATGGCTAAGCACATGTTATAAGCACAACAGAAACATTAGATAACAACTATCGGCGCACACTATCTCTTTGTAAAATAAGGTTCTAAATGAACAGCGTGTTTTTCTGGAAATCAATTTTTTTTAAAACTAGACATGTCAAGAAATCTAAATTTGAGGAGCCTTTGGGAAACTGGTTGCTAATTATAAGCCAACTGCAGCTTTTTAAAGGCGTTTTAAAGAGGATTAGTGAAAATAATTATCCTAAGACGCTCCAGTCGGTAAGGCAAATATGTTTTTGGGTGAAGCTCGGACGTACTTAAGAAGATGACCTACTACCTAGCTTACTGTTGCTTTTTTCTGTAAGTGTGGGGGAGAGAGAGTGAGAGAAAGAGAGAGAGAGAAAGAGAGAGATAGAGAAAGAGATGGAGGGTGAGAGAGAGGGGGTTGAACATTGACTATTTCCTGTGACTAGCGCCACCAAGCTCCCAATGAGAGTTTTGAGTCGGACTTGTTAAGTGCGTCAACACAACCAGCTTAGTCTCCCGGGCAGCTGTGCGCAAGGATTGTGAGGGAGATATGTCTTTATTTATTTAAAAGTTTCAGAAGCTTCAGCGTGCTTTGTGTTTGCAAAGTTCATGCATTTTAACGCTGAAGGCTGTTCAGCAAACAAAACCAACAGTTAAGATCTTAACATTTTTGGTCATTTCCTCGTGGCTTTGTTAAAGGTCATGTGTGTATGTCAAACGAAAGAGTGACGGTCCAAATGTTTTCATATTGTTGAAGCTCCAACTGATGGTATCCATTTCACTTAAACTTATAATTTACATGTCATACATCTAATATTATTCGTATCATCCAATACATTGTTTTGGTGTCATCCAACGGATCTATTTCGTGTCATTCAGCTGATGGTATCCGTGCCACTCATCTGATAAAATTCACGTAATTCAGCAGATGTTATCCGTGTCACTCATCTGAGAGATAACGTGCCAATCATAAAGTATCATTTGTATCACTCATTCATCTGATAGCATCCGCATTTCTCATTTGATGGGATCTGTGTCCTTCATCTAACAACATTAGTGTCACCAAATTTGTTTCCTCTCCATATGATCGCAATTGTTCATTTTGGTCATAGGCGTGTTTTTATTTGATCAACAAGTATAAAATCATGTTGATGATTCCATTTGGATACCCTCACACACACTCTCTCTCTCCCACAGGTGCATCCCGAATACTGAGTGTTCCAATCGCGTATGAGAACTTTGGCTAATTTCAAGTTTAACAGCCCTGCCTAAGTAAACTTTCTAGGAAAAGGCAATTATTGCTATACATTGAGGAATCATGAAGTAAAATATCGCCTACGACTGGTCAAGATCGCATTAGCCACAGTCATGGCAAGAAAAAGTGGGGTACGGCATGGATCAGTAAAAAAGCGATTTTAGCGCCATAGTCTTTGTGAATGACATGGTATTTTTCGTTTATTTCACAATAAAGGTCATATTTAAAGACGATTTTGATGTCTTCTTGAGGTTGGCGCCAGGGGCCTATGTTCCATTCGCACCCCCTCTGCACACCTCATCTATAAACGGCCCTGGTAGTAGCAATCAGCATTCGGGATTTCATTAAAAGAGAAACTTAATGTTTAAAAATAAATCAAAATAATTGATTATGACAAAGTAAGTTGCTACAAAAATGTAGTTAAATTTCTATACTTTGATAGCATCACACATGGCATTATTATTTCATTCCCAAAGAAAAATTTAGGTGTAATTAATGGTGTAACATTAAAACCAATGATAAAATGTGAGAACGCATTTAATGAATAAATCGTAGAAAGATAAATCGATACATTGGATCAATCACGCGCTCCGAAAATTTGAACACATAACCGGTCAAGACCTGTCTTGGACGTAAAAAAAGCCTACGAGCAATAAGATATAACTAGATAAAGCCCGCCAAACATTGGCGACAGAAATTAGTAATTTTCCATCTAGTAAAGTTACTTGAAAATATTCGAACTCAAGTAACGCACAGTTTCTACACACACATATACATAAAGTAACTTGTAACTCACCAGATTGACTCACAACCAAATTGACTATGTTCTAATCGATTCAAGGCATGGAACAGACCTACTAGGCGAAAGAAGTATCGAGAAGCAGCTGTAGACTCCGACCATCTACTTGTAAGGTTTAAGAAATAAGCAGAAAGTAAGCGTAGCATAATTCCCAATGGCCGAAATCACAGAGAAAAACTATATGATAATTACAAACTTAACAAAGCGAAAAAGCTTATCAAAATGAAGTAAAAGCACAATTAGAAGCATCCCATGAGCAAATAAACCGGGAAAACAACATAAATGAACAGCGGGATAGGTTAAAACAAAAAAGCTATGAAAAGATCAGTAGAAAAAGTAGAAAGACTTCAGGAAACTAACGGTAGAGTAGGCTGGTTTGAACATCAATACAGAGATACCGTCCAAGAAAGGAACAGGGCACAAACAGCCATGTTACAAATGGAAACCAGAATGATAAGACGATAGAATTACAATGTGTCGAGCATTGGGAGTTCAAAATAATTGTTGCGACTGAATATTATATTTTATTATGTTTCATTACGCGCGGTTTGTGTTTGTGAGTTTGATTAGTTAGTGACTGTGGCGTATTTTATGCTGATTGTGACGTATTGGCTAGACTGTAAGTTTCAGTCGTGCGAGTCGTGAGTGGAACTTTGTAGAAGTAGGATGTGTTTTATTTCTGTCTGATAGTGAGCCGCGCTACATTCATGTGTGTATCGAGTTTACAGCCTGTGTTTATCATAAGATATTAAAGTTACATTTATTGTGTTAAGGACTTGAGTTGATTCAATATTAATACGACGTATTTCAACGTGTGAAAGAGCTTAACGAATTAACCAATCCAGTAGAATATAGGACTTGACATGAGGGCTACTTGTCCGTGATTGGTAACTCTTGTCATGCTCTTACTTTGAGGTAAAGTACAATAGCTTTCTTATCATTTCAACTTTTTTGAAGTTACATTTATCGTTGAATGTTCCCGTGTTTCATGGTCGGAGCCCGCTGTATCAAGTTTGTATGAGATGCATACGCTAATGACCCCATCAACTACCTATGTCCTGTATCAGGCTGTAGCAAGTTGCGAACGTCAACTACAGTTCCAGTAAAGTACCCACGTCTCGTTCTGTATCACTTTAACAACGTCCTGCCCTGTGTCCAGTTATCAACGCCCTGTCCTGCAGCAGCGAGCCATCTACGCACCGTGCAGTATCAAGCTGCATATGAACTGTCTAATGTCGGCGAGTGCCTACATCTTGTCCAGTGAGCTGTCTACATCCTGTGGCCCTGTCTTGTCACCTGCACCCCTCTACTGTATCCCGTTATTTGCTCGAGTTCTATGTCCCGTCCAGTGTCCAATGAGCTGTCGATGTCCTGTGGCCCTGTCCGGTCACCCAGTTGAAAAAAACCCTGTCCTGTTTCAACGAGGCACCAACGTCCCGTCCTGCATCAAGCTGCGTATGCACGATCCTGTATTGGCAGGTTCCCCACGAACTGTCCAGTTCCGATGATTTGCCTACATCCTATCCAGTGATATGCCGATGTCCCGTGACCTGGCATATTATTAATAACGATAGGAAGAGAACTACACACTCAGAAACATGAACTTATAACTAAATTTTGCAAGAAGAGTAAATTCAAACAGAATGAGGAACAGCACTAAAAACCCCAATACACAAGAAATGTTCCAAACTTCAAAGCACAAACTACAGAGTAATTTCCATATTAAAAGTTACGTACAAAATACTGACAAATCTAATTGACAAAAGACTACAACCGTGCACTGAACACATACTAGGTGACTACCAATGTGGATTAGACAATACAGATCAACGACTGATCCTTGTTTCACTGATGCCTGTTAGAGAAATATTATGAATATAATATACCAGTACAACAACTCTGACTGAGCATGTTAGTCATCAGATTACAGGCAGCAGCTCAAGCAAGGACTTATTTCGCATTGTGGGTCAGCTGACCGGTAAAAACAAGGCTACATCTCTGCCAAATAACATTGCTGTAGAAGAGCTGCCAGACGCTCTAAATGATTACTTTATTACAAAAGTTAAGAGGATCAGAGCGAAACTTGACAGTTGCATCGATACTGCTCCAGAATTCTCACTCTTCAACTCTTCTTCTATGGGTGAATTCGTTGAGGTCAGTGAATCGAATGTGAGGGAAATCCTCGCTGATACCCCAAGAAAGTCATGTTCGCTTGACCCTCTTCCAGCAGGGCTCTTGTATGAATGTCTGGATGAAATAGTCCCCATCATCACTTATATCATAAATCAGTCCTTAGCTACTGGTATTGTTCCATCATCTTTTAAAGAGGCGATCGTCACTCCACTATTAAAGAAATCAAATCTTGACCCAAATGTGATGGAAAATTACCGCCCCATCTCAAATCTACCATTTATTTCTAAAATCTTAGAAAAAGTCGTTCTCCGCCAACTCCTGGATCACCTCACTCAGTTTGACTTGTTTGAACCATTCCAGTCAGCATACAGGGCGCATCACTCTACTGAGACAGCCCTGTTGCGCGTCGTAAACGACCTTCTGTCGTCTTGTGATGAGGGCCAGGTATCGATTTTGTCTTTACTCAATTTATCGGCAGCTTTCGATACGCTCGACCACGGCATACTGCTCGAGCGTCTGCAACAAACGTTCGGTCTCACTGATACAATCCTGTGTTGGTTCCGATCATATCTGACTAATCGGGTGCAGTCAGTTATTTCAAACGGCTTGACCTCGAAGAAATCTGATATCGAATTCGGAGTACCCCAGGGCTCGGTACTAGGCCCGGTGCTTTTCACGATGTACATTCAGCCCCTGGGTGCAGAGATCAGGCAGTTTGACATGTTGTATCACATGTTCGCGGACGATACACAACTTCATCAATCCGTGATCCCTTTTCAGTTTCCTCAGCTGCTCAGTGTGCCTCAGCTGCTCAGTATGAAACAGAAGACAATGGAGTCGGTTAAGCACTGGATTACCATAAACAAGCTCAAATTGAATGATGATAAGACTGAGCTGCTCCCCATCCCGACCGCTCAGAAGCTAAAATCTGCAAATAACACGACATCCATTACTCTCTCAGGTGTGCGTATTGAGTTAGCTCA